GTTGTTCAGGTCCCGTTGACATTTTCTTATGGTCCGATCGTTCAGCTGCTACAGCATCTGCATCATTTTGTTCTTGCTGTGTTGTATTTCAATCCAGAATATATTTTCTCCGTGCACAGTTTCTTTATGTGGCTAGTATATATCGATGAATAGTCTCTGTGCTACATAACAGTTCATTATAAATTGTGTTAATTGTGTTCATGGGGTCTCCTCGGTCTTGGAATGTTTAGACAGCACGAACTGCTTTGAAAATAATTCTTGGTCATGAGTCTCTGTTCTGTACTGTGTCTGAGTGGTGTATCCATGTAAAACTGGTCTCTCAGACTGGCACTGTTAAGTTGCAATATTCTGGACTAGTACAAGACCACAAGTACAAATCTTATAATGTGCCGTTTACCTGTTTTCTTTACTCGACACCACATAAATACCGTATTCGACGTAATAAGCGTCCAGGGCGCTCTCAAAATTAGAAATAGGGGGCTCTTATTAGAATATTATGTTGGTGAAAAAAAACAGAGTTGATAGATAAATTTCGTGGCCTGAAATGTTTATGTACGACAGATATATTTTTCCAAAATTAAATGCCCATAATTAAGGGTGCGTATAACACACAAATGCGTATTATACGCGAATAAATAAGTCTTGTGTACATTGATCAATCGGAAGGGGTGCTAATTGGGATTGTTCACTAGCCAATATCTTAGTAAATGTCGCTGTGGGCGCTTATTAGAGCGGGGCGCTTATTACGTCGAATACGATACTTCAACCTATCATGTTTCAGGTCAATCCATCTCATGAAATGCAGATGCCCTGAAACGAAGATAAATGAAACAAAATGCAATTCCTTTTTGTTAAGAATTGGATGAAAACCTAATAATTCATATATTGTAGCTAAGAACTAATCATATAGGCTGTATCAAAAAGGAAAACCTGCCACCATTTTTAACATTGAGTCTGATTGAAAGAAAGCACAATAAAATCATCACCAGGAATGTGGCTCATGGTTTTTAATATAGAAGCTTGTCATTAACTTTATCAAAAGCTATACCTAAGTATTCTGTTATATGAATATGTCACCAAGGTATTCCCTTTGTACACACCACCTAAGTAATCACGTAAGTTTTTATAAATATATGTGGAAAACCGAAAACCATAACATAAAGAATACATGTCAGTCAGATTTACAGGACCACCAGGGGAGTGCAAGTTTACATTGTATAAGTCTGCATGGAAGTATATTTACATTTCAAACAGACATGCTGACATATTTCCATGCACACCATGCCATCTGTGCTAACGTAATTTGTTTCAAGTTATGTTCACTCTGTGCACCAGAAATAAATAAATGTGTTTATAATAGTATGGATACTAACAATCTTGTCATGAGTGTAACTTGGTCATTGTGCTCTATGATGACCCTGTTTGAGGGGAAAAGCAATAACATAAACATATCCCTCAAATAATTCCCACCTAAATTGTCTTACAGGTGATTGGTGTATGGTTGATGGGTCATAGAGGAGTTACTTCCCTTCTTTGGAGTACAGTAAACTACCTTTATAACAAACACGCAAATAATGAATTGACGGAGGTAACAAACTTTTTATTTGCTCTCATTAATTTGCTGTATATATGCTGTATAGATGCTTATAACGAACTACGGTAATAAACTAAAATTAGTGGTCCCTTTGAGTTTGTTAAACCATAGTTTACTGTACTGTGAAATATTTGGATTGTCAGCTATGTTGAGGCCACATTTTATTTTAAGGAATGAAGGTAGACTCATAGTCGTATCCAAGGAATATGTTTGACGCAGGAATCCCAACACATAAGCTGGGTTCTAGGCTGGTGGCTGCCACCATGGTGCCTTTGTGTGGATCTCACCACAAACTAGGCTGCAAGGGGAAGGTGTAATAGTCATAGTGTATAATTAGATTTGGGCATCAGGCGAAGAAAAGAATACTTGTGTAGTATAATAGTTAACATGTACCCAACAGCTATGGGTTGGTATTGCATTTGATATTTTTGTAAGAATGTTGAACACAGATGACTTGTTTAGAACTATATGTTTCTTGAATTTGTGTATCTGAATACAGCAATAATAATACACAGAAACAATTTGTTTTCCCAGTGTAAAATATGGGTCTCTTGATGGCTGTTTCCAGCTGTGATAAAAAACGTACAGGCCACAAGTGAATCAATGAGTATGTTTGGTTACACAAGTAATTTTTTTCGTCATCCATTGTTTATGGCCCATGTTTTTTGTATCGGGAGTGAGTGTATGATTGAAGATTGAGTCTGTGGTATAAACATTTCATACACACTCAATTTCAATATATATTTTTCAATGAAGTTGTAACAACTGTGTGGTTGTGTTTGTACTGCAAATACTTTATATGTAACAATGTTTTCTTTTTGTGATATGTGTATGACTATGTGTCAACCTAATTACACTATGTGTCAGCCAAATCACACGACCCCTTAAGATCTGGGTTAGAATAGGTCTTCAGCAAACCCATGCTTGCTTTAAAAGGCAGCTGTGCCTGTCGTAAGAGGTTACTAATGGGATCGGGTGGTCAGACTGGCTGACTTGGTTGATGCATGTCATTGTATCCCAACTTCCGTGGCTCAATGATCATGACGTCAATTACTGGAATGTCTGGTCCAGACTCGATTTTTTACAGACCCCTGTCATATAGCTAGAATATTGCTGAGTGTGGTGTGACACTACTTACAAAATCACACACATGACCTGGCTTATTGTTTGTCTGGGTAGTGTGAGATGAAGCGTAACAAAGAGTGCACAAACAGTTTTTCACCAATCTCATAAACATAAGATAAGTGCTTGCTGTGCAACAATGTTGCAGTAGCAAGCGCCAAGATCTGATTTCAGTGAGATTGTTTTTTCACCTAGCAAAGGGCTGACAACTTGAAAACATTACACATCTTATCTGATGGTACCAGGTCTCCAAGAGGATTAACTATCAACCCAAAAACACAACCTGCCGTCAGGTAAGTAGTATGAATACATATACTACCTGGAGTCACTCTGTAACCATACAGCTTGTCTTCAGCACACAGTCAATCATTTTGCCTCATAATGCTCTAGAGCAATGGCAGTGTCTTGTCATAGTTTGAAAGGAAACAAACCAAACGTGCCAAAGGACACACTTTTCTTCACCATGCTCATGGCCTTTTAATACACAGACTATAAGGAGACATGAGCCTTGGGCCAATTGGCAGTACTAACAGGTTTGTTTCAAGTCATTCCAATATCTATAACACCTCGACGCCAGAGAATATCCATTCTCGATTATTCGCAGGAACAGATTCCACTGGACGTAAAAGGCCAAATAATTGGGAAACTTATATGAATGGATTGCTGAAAATTGGTAACGACACCAGGCGTTCGTGAAAAGGATAAGCATATCCTGCAAAACACAGCATCAAGGACAAACACCATGAGTTACACTGAGTCACGTTCAACTCATGCACAACTCATTAGTCTTGGGACTAACAGCATAGTAGCCATGTCTACTAATACATATATTATGATTAACATAAACCCAGCAGGAGATGATTACACGGAAACAATATCTCAGTTTCACAACTTTAGTACGTGATATAAACTTCATAAAAAGAAAACAAAGTACATTCTTATTTGCTATAAGTTTATTGTCACAAATAGAGTGATCAAGAAAAATATCCAACACATAAAATAGTGCCATAAATTCTAAACTGTACAAGGTTGGTAAAACATCAAAACGTGGGTATAACAACAGTACATAATAGGAGAGACACGTCTACAAGTCTTGTAGTCATAACTTTGTTCAACGTCGAGGTGACATTCCACTGCTATATATAACTTCAGCAGTTGATGTAGTATTTAAATAAACACTTGAAATGTTGCCAATATTTTATTGAATCACTAAGTCATATTGAAAAACAACATTTCTGAATCTAGATCATCTGTGTCCGTGCCTAGTGACAAGTAATTGTTACATAAATGGATACTTGTTTTGTGTCATTTTGTTTATATCTGTAGAGATCTCAATATTTTCATTATCTCAGTGTTAGCTGAAATGGTATATGTTCAATTATTCTTAATTTGACACCTGTTCCATGCAAAATTGTTTGCCCAGTACAAAAGTTATGTATCTTTTTTCCAACTAAGTATTAGACTTGCATTAATTTCAAGGGTTTTGACTTATTCTAAAGGGATGAAACAAAAGCAACCATTCTTACTTTATAATTATTGTTACAAAAGCAGGCTTATTCATCTTCCAGGGAAATCTTTAATAAAAAGTACTTCCAAGGTTGACATCAATGTTTCATTAGTTAATACAGATCATCATACAGGGATGTTCAGTCGTAAAATGTGTGATAATCTCTCTGAACGTTCACTCATAAACACCACACTTAAACACTCACTATATCTGTAACGGACAAGTCTCTATCACAGAATGCTTATAAACCTCAGAACATAAAGATGGCTGCCTGTCATCATGGTGCCTTTGTGCATAGATCCTGTGAGGATTTGTCCTGGTACAATACCTCTACATCAAGTAAAGCATCCATACGCGAGACTTATTTTTCTTGGTTAACAGACAATCTCTTAAAAATCCCTCATCAGTAAGTTGGGAAAATAAAAACTAAAAAAAAACAATACAGATTTTGTTTGTTCTTCTAAGTTTTATCATAGTATCGTGGTGAACATTTCTGAAATTTGTACACCCTGAACTTGCAGTTATTTAGGCTAAAAAAAATAATAGTCTTGGTTCTCAGGCACCATCCGCATCATCATAAAGTCAGCCGCATATTTCGCTTTTATTTCCATCTAAAAAAAAAATATATTTGTTTAAACATTCCGCGTCTCAAACACAGCAGTGAAATGCTACAACAAGAACAACATGATTTCACCAAAATTATTGCAAACAAAATTTGGTTACATACAAACTTGAACACCCCCCCCCCACCCCCCCTAAAAAAAAACACTGCCCCCCTCCCCGCACTTTATTATCAAAAGCCATTACCCGAGAACCAATTCTTTAAACTTTTTATGCCTTATGATCGTGTCAAATCTGTTGAAAAAGTCTTAAAAAATACCTTTTCACCTTAGAAAATACATCCTCAAATACCTGAACATAAATGACAAGCTTCAGTACAGACATTTGACTGTCATCCACTGCCACAGATTCTTGATACAAGATGGCGACATATGTAACATGACATTTTAACTGATGATAACATGTGAAATATACAAGAACACTGAGAATATAAAAGATATATTTTCTTATTGCTAAAATACCTGTTCCACATTTTTATTTTATTTTTCTTTAATATACCATATTCTTAATGTCCTCATTTCAACAATGATTGTGCTGAATATGATATGGTACTGAGGACAAAAGCCAGTGAAATTCACAAAGAGGACTAGTGACAACAGTTTTGACATGCATGGCCCTTTGCACTGTGAATTTATATGGCATTCGTTGTGAGTACATGAGTTGGGTTTAACATCACTGTCATGTGGGAGGACTGGTCAGAGTGACACACGTTGCAGGTGTTCACCACCTGGAGGACTCCCAAGGGCAAGAGCATAGCTCCAGCAAACCATGGCTATACCGGTAATGGGTTCAGTCTGGGCCTCTAACCCATGACCAGCAGATCCTGGCCTGGATAAGGGATGCAACCCTGTAGAGACATGGAGCCTTAACTGATAAGTCCACCAAACGTTGGTTAATATTAGGCCTCAAGAATATATGTTGCTAATCATTCAACCATCAGTGCCCTATATGTAACTTGATTTTAAGCCTGAAAATGAAAATAACTTCATAAACATTCAGCCTTATTTTCAGTAATAAAACTTTGGTCTAAAAGAATAGGAACAGTTTTGCAGGCAGGTGTGCCCTTGAAAGTGTGTGTCTTTAAGTGTCTTGAACCATTCAACATTGCATTTGAAGACGGAGAATGTTCACACAGGATTAATTAAGCATACACATTGAATAAGGCTAAAGGTTTGTTAGACTGTGAAGAAGGCATATGGTTTGCTTCCGCTAATTCTTGTTGAGATTTGCAGAGCATTAGAGTTATGTTTTACAGCAATTCCTTGGAATTTCCATGTGAAAGTCACTTGATGCTGACTTGTCCCTGAGCGTTCTACTTATAATTATATGTAACTACATTTGACTGGTACCTGCAAAATATCCAAATGCCACTCAAAATGATATATTAATTGCTTAAATAAATGCCAGCTATTTACAAAATGCAAACGTTATTCTACATAATACAAAATATAAAGATATTGACTTGGAGCACTAACAGGAAATATCTGACAAAGACATCAATCACAACACATCTAAAACTGAAATATATGCATTCAGTTGATACACATTCATGTGATACACATGATTAAGAACTCTGACTCTCATTCAGAAGTCAACAACCAAAATATATGTATATATTACAGCTGATTCAATCCTATTCAGATTCTTAACTATGAAACAAACATGACTTTACAATGCTAGAAGGTAGCATGGTCATTCTCTAAAAGCACAATTATGACTGTAAACAATGTCATCACACAAATAGTAATGAACAATAATTCAGAAATGTGTCGGTAGCCCATAGTCCTCCAAAACACAAAAAAAAAGTGAAAAGATTGTCCATTTTCTTTAATAAAATGTCTGCCCTATGAACATGATAAATTTGAAAATTTAACAAAAACAAATTTAAATAGGATTGTTTGTATCTTTGTTCAAAAGTTTCTTTCAAGTCTTGTGTTTCAGCAGAATAACTGAAATTCAGGATAACTAAAATACAAGAAATACAAGTTTTAGACAGTAGAAATACAAAGATTTCATGCAGGTTGTTCATCTTAGCTAATGTGAACTGTGAACTAAGATCATATCTTTAGCCAAAAGCAATAGGAAATATATAGAAAGAAAATTACGATAGAATGTTTGAGAGCAATCAGGTCACTATGACCATATCAAACATAACTTTCCTTCTGAATGTCAAGACAATAGCTGTGGCTGCAAACATGGCACCTTGACACTATAGAGAACAAACTATTTTACTTTGTAAAATGATGTTTGCTTTGTGAAGCCTTGTATCCAGCCATCACAATAAATATACTCATGAAAAGTAACAAGGGCCCTCTTGTATACCAACAAATCTAACTTGTCACACCTCAATTGTAGCAAGATATATCAACTCATCTATAATATTGGGGGCTTCAATATGTTCAAAAACATTAATTGTTAAAATGAAAATATATCAAATAAAGGATACAAACAAAGGTTTATGTTTCACTATGTGCAATACAGGTAATATGGTCATATATACCATATATATTCATAAAGTATTTAGATAGCCAGGAAATGATGATATGATTAATATCACCACACCCTATGTTCCATGTGTAATAACAAAGAAATAAAAATATGGTATTATGATGTATTCATAATGCATCTTTCCATTTATTTTTTCTCCACAGTATTATGAAGGGAATGGAAAAAAATATGTACATATTTGCTGAGGAGTTAAAACTGCAGCTGGCTTCTTGAATCACTGATAGCGATGTAGACATGGAATTTATGTATAACAGTTTTCATTGAGTGTCTATATTACTAGCTGGAGACATAATACAAATTAATATTTTTATGTTTAATTTTTTTTTCTGGCGGCTTTTCAGTTAGGGCAGCGGGCCCATGAAACGAAAAATAAAAAAAGTGTGTCCGAAATCTAAAACAATAGTTCAGTGTCATGTAAGTGCACATAAATGTATGGATAACATTAATCATGAAATTAATTACTGGAACAAATAGAAATTTATCTAATTTTTTGCTTACTGCATAGACAACACATAAATAATTTACCAGAATACCGAATGGAATATATACCAATACTTTATATATATTTATTTTTTTGCCTCTCACCTCTCTCATTATGTGCTAGTATTGCATGGCCACTGGCCTTCTTCTACACATTACCTAATACTAATAGGACTGTTTGTTATAAATGCATTTCACCAATATACACAACCCCATTAGAATCAGATCTTAGTGCACGCTACAGCCCGTAACTGTCGTTCTGAATGCCCAATGTTTCGAGGTTGCATGATTAGAAAACACATTCAGACTTTCACTTTGGTGTTCTTGTAAGCTGACTGGTCGGATGAAAGATCTCTCTGATGTGATCTAGAATGAGACGTCCTCAGATCTCTGTGTCAGATCTGATTCTAATGAGATTGACAATACACATGAACTCTAAAACAGAAGATACCAGTAACACAGTGCAAAGAAGAAAATTAGAAGATTGTGTAAATTTTGAGGTATTTTAGTATATATTTGATAACTTAATATGAAACTGAGTTATTTCATTCACAAGTCATAATCCTAGTTTTGGTAGAATATCAGTAATGTCATGATTAGTTATATAGCTTGGCAAAGGGTCTGGAACATTTCAACATTGTTATCAAACTATATAGTCTAACATTGTGTGACTCCATGTTGCTATCGGAAGGAGAATAGATCAATATGGATCTCATCGCCAGTCAAGAAGTCAAATCTGCCCATAGGGAGGGAGTCCAGGAACAGTTCCTCCAGATCGGGGAGTTCTCCGATGCATGTCCGGATCATAGACTGGTGGTACATCCGGAACTGACTGCAAGAAGACAAGGAGTGGGACACATATAGAGGTGTTTGCATTACATCAACAATGGTGTCTGTATTACATCAACAATGGTGTCTGTATTACATCAACAATGGTGTCTGTATTACATGCCAATGGTGTCTGTATTACATGCCAATAGTGTCTGTATTACATCAACAATGGTGTCTGTATTACATCAACAATGGTGTCTGTATTACATCAACACGGTGTCTGTATTACATCAACAATGGTGTCTGTATTACATCCCAATGGTGTCTGTATTACATCAACAATGGTGTCTGTATTACATCAACAATGGTGTCTGTATTACATGCCAATGGTGTCTGTATTACATAAACAATGGTGTCTGTATTACATGCCAATGGTGTCTGTATTACATGCCAATGGTGTCTGTATTACATCAACAATGGTGTCTGTATTACATCAACAATGGTGTCTGTATTACATGCCAATGGTGTCTGTATTACATCAACAATGGTGTCTGTATTACATGCCAATGGTGTCTGTATTACATCAACAATGGTGTCTGTATTACATCAACAATGGTGTCTGTATTACATCAACATGGTGTCTGTATTACATCAACAATGGTGTCTGGATTACATCAACAATGGTGTTTGTATTACATGCCAATGGTGTCTGTATTACATCAACAATGGTGTCTGTATTACATGCCAATGGTGTCTGTATTACATCAACAATGGTGTCTGTATTACATGCCAATGGTGTCTGTATTACATCAACAATGGTGTCTGGATTACATGCCAATGGTGTCTGTATTACATCAACAATGGTGTCTGTATTAAATGCCAATGGTGTCTGTATTACATCAACAATGGTGTCTGTATTACATGCCAATGGTGTCTGTATTACATCACAAATGGTGTCTGGATTACATGCCAATGGTGTCTGTATTACATCAACAATGGTGTCTGTATTACATGCCAATGGTGTCTGTATTACATCAACAATGGTGTCTGTATTACATCAACAATGGTGTCTGTATTACATCAACAATGGTGTCTGTATTACTAGCCAATGGTGTCTGTATTACATCAACAATGGTGTCTGTATTACATGCCAATGGTGTCTGTATTACTAGCCAATGGTGTCTGTATTACATCAACAATGGTGTCTGTATTACATCAACAATGGTGTCTGTATTACATGCCAATGGTGTCTGTATTACATGCCAATGGTGTCTGTATTACATCAACAATGGTGTCTGTATTACAGCAACAATGGTGTCTGTATTACATCAATATGGTGTCTGTATTACATCAACAATGGTGTCTGTATTACATGCCAATGGTGTCTGTATTACATGCCAATGGTGTCTGTATTACATCAACAATGGTGTCTGTATTACATCAACATGGTGTCTGTATTACATCAACAATGGTGTCTGGATTACATCAACAATGGTGTCTGTATTACATCAACAATGGTGTCTGTATTACATGCCAATGGTGTCTGTATTACATCAACAATGGTGTCTGTATTACATGCCAATGGTGTCTGTATTACATCAACAATGGTGTCTGGATTACATCAACAATGGTGTCTGTATTACATGCCAATGGTGTCTGTATTACATCAACAATGGTGTCTGTATTACATGCCAATGGTGTCTGTATTACATCAACAATGGTGTCTGTATTACATCAACAATGGTGTCTGTATTACATCAACAATGGTGTCTGTATTACATGCCAATGGTGTCTGTATTACATCAACAATGGTGTCTGTATTACATGCCAATGGTGTCTGTATTACATAAACAATGGTGTCTGTATTACATGCCAATGGTGTCTGTATTACATCAACAATGGTGTCTGGATTACATGCCAATGGTGTCTGTATTACATCAACAATGGTGTCTGTATTACATGCCAATGGTGTCTGTATTACATCAACAATGGTGTCTGTATTACATGCCAATGGTGTCTGTATTACATCAACAATGGTGTCTGTATTACATGCCAATGGTGTAAGTATTACATCAACAATGGTGTCTGTATTACATGCCAATTGTGTCTGTATTACATCAACAATGGTGTCTGTATTACATCAACAATGGTGTCTGTATTACATCAACAATGGTGTCTGTATTACATGCCAATGGTGTCTGTATTACATCAACAATGGTGTCTGTATAACATCAACAATGGTGTCTGCATTACATGCCAATGGTGTCTGAATTACATCAACGATGGTGTCTGTATTACATGCCAATGGTGTCTGTATTACATCAACAATGGTGTCTGTATAACATCAACAATGGTGTCTGTATTACATGCCAATGGTGTCTGTATTACATCAACAATGGTGTCTGTATTACATCAACAATGGTGTCTGTATTACATCAACATGGTGTCTGTATTACATCAACAATGGTGTCTGTATTACATGCCAATGGTGTCTGTATTACATGCCAATGGTGTCTGTATTACATCAACAATGGTGTCTGTATTACATCAAAAATGGTGTCTGTATTATATCAACATGGTGTCTGTATTACATCAACAATGGTGTCTGGATTACATCAACAATGGTGTCTGTATTACATCAACAATGGTGTCTGTATTACATCAACAATGGTGTCTGTATTACATCAACAATGGTGTCTGTATTACATCAACAATGGTGTCTGTATAACATGCCAATGGTGTCTGGATTACATCAACAATGGTGTTTGTATTACATGCCAATGGTGTCTGTATTACATCAACAATGGTGTCTGTATTACATGCCAATGGTGTCTGTATTACATCAACAATGGTGTCTGTATTACATGCCAATGGTGTCTGTATTACATCAACAATGGTGTCTGTATAACATGCCAATGGTGTTTGTATTACATCAACAATGGTGTCTGTATTACATGCCAATGGTGTCTGTCCTACATCAACAATGGTGTCTGTATTATATCCAAATGGTGTCACTATTACATCATTACATTTGAAATGTCTTGGTATCATGAAAACACTAGCCCTGTCCTCCTCTCCATTTACTAGCCAATATGTGTTAGTTGCTGACCTAGCTTCATGTCTCTCATACAGTATGTAACTTTCTAAAACAGTCTCACATCTGCTTCAGATGCCTCCCTCGAGTGAACACTGAACAATATTGTGGACATTTTTAACTTCCCAGTTCCCAAAATCTGGAACATTTTGAACAGGTCTTAGTACCAGGAGTCTTATTTTCATTCAAAATGTGATCAGACCAAAGTGACATAATCATGGTTGGCTCACCGTTTGTGCACACCCAACTTGTTGGCCACAAAGTTGCGCAGTTTCCCTACAGGTCCCACAACATGGATCTTCTCCTTGAATGCCACTTTCCCACAGAGGATGAAGGTCAAGGTCGGCCTTTCCTCGTACCTTGCACCGAGGTCAATGTCAACTATCTGTGTCAGTTTACCTGCACCAATCAAACATTAAAGACATGTTTAGAGACAGTAATACAGGTGATGCTGTTGCACAGCTCCAATTAAAGTTTAGACATTGTGTCATAAGGGACCGTCACTTGATTCACTGGTTAGGATAGCAACTACACTGCAGAGTGGTTGTGTATATTCAACGGTGAAAGTAGTGTATTCCAACCTATGCGGAATTGTAGTGTGAATGGACTAGAGTCCAAGCAGTCTGCGTCTTCAGCCACTATCCGAAGCGCGAGTCTAGTATAATTCTTTTCGGTCAAGTGAGCTAGGCTAATAATAGCCCATATCATAACACTAATATCTACTGAAAATGATGCCAAGGGACAATGCCATCAATGAGCAGAAACAACATTATTTCATTACCTCCAATTCAATTGCACCTACCATGCTTTTTTTCCAGTTCAGCAAATCTTGTTGGTCGATCACTCTCAGCAGTGTTAAGGAAGTGTCGCAGGAAGAACCGTTCTGACTTTTCTCTCTCTGTGTTTGTGATATCGCTGCCGTTCAGAAGCTTGATATTCGGCAAGCTGATGAAACAGAGTCCCATAATAAACAATCTTCATGATATTGTGAAAGAGAATGATAAATGTATTGATTACCTGGAGCCAAGACCTACAGCTAATTTTAGAACACATTGTGTATACATAATATCAATAAATGCAGCAATTTTGCAGAAGAGTTTTATGTTGTCTGGTGGATGACAAGATAAAGAAAACTTGACGTAAGTGGTAAGGTCGCTGTGACACTCACAGCTGGTCAGGAACAGCTGGCAACATTCTTCTCTCTTATCTTAAACCAACGTGTCAGAAAAACAACATTATTTGCTTGAACCTCATCATGAAATGTAGAATTCATCTCAAAACTTAGTCAAGTATGAAATAATAATACTTTATTTACTTTTCAATTCAATGTTAAAACTATACCATACCTTGCTATGTACAACATCCATCGGTCATCTTGCTCCATCTGTGCGACAAGCGGTATACCCTGCAATAATACATCCATTGTTAAAAAAATATTCCTAATCAAACTCTGCACAGAAAAATGTTCACTCACTATCTCAATATTCAGTTTGCTTGCATGAATAGTTGCAATAACAACCATTAGTTTTGATTAATACATGGTTCTATAACTTGTTTGTTAAAAATAACTATTTGTTTAACATCACACAAGGAATATTTCCGGTCATATGATGTCTGTCTGTAAATAATTGAATCTGGACCAGACGATCCAGTGATTGACATCATGAGCATTAAGTCACGCAATTGGGATACAATGACATGTATCAACCAAGTCAGCGAGCCTGATCACCTGATTCTGTTGGTCACCCCTTACGACAAGCATGGGTTGCTGAAGACCAATTCTCTAAAATAGCTTCCTGATGACTATGTGGTCTGTAGTACTTTAAGCACACTTCTATTCAGCCAAAACAGTACACCATTGCCAGCTAATTTCACATATTTATCCAAATCTATGAACTACTCTGATTTTGGATGGTAAGCAGCAGTGACTTGGTTGATTGCTTGACATCATCTCCCTCATGTTGCTCATAATATCAACCACTGGTTTGTCTGGTCCTCAATTGTTGACAGGCTGCCATCATGGCTGAGTGTGGAGTAACAAACATATAAGCAAACAAACATATGCCTGACGTAGGGCTTGGACGAGTCCAAATTTACTACCCGGGTACCTGAGCCCCTATTACCCGACCCTACCCGGATACCCGCTGTAGGTCTCAAGAGATAGGTACAAAATGTCCGATTGGGAAACATTTGACCGTACTCCTGTCAAAATGTATTTAGATACAGGTATAAAATGATCTGGTCATGCATACACTGAAGTTGACTGAAGTTTTATCTTTAAGCAAACATATAAAGTCGGAAGGAATGTGTGCATAGTCGGAAAGAAATGTGATCATTTGTCACTTATAGTGTAACCATAGAGTTCTAGATATTTTTTGCCATTAAACAATGTAATCACGTGACTTACCACGGGTCTGGGTAGTCCTGTGGGTACCCTGGTCCTACTCAGTACCCACCCGACCCTGGTACCCGAGTTACCCGTCCCAGTCCTATCCTGACGTTATAATACGTTTGGCAGTATAGTCACAACTTACGGTCAGCCTCACTGATGAAAGGGAGGGGAACTGAGACAAGGCATGCAGGTGTTCCCAGTCAGTGATGTTGGTCTTGCTTAAACACAATGTGTGCAGCTGGTGGAAAGGTCTTGTGCCGGCTTCACTGGCATCATCCTCTCCAGAATCAGGAGCCTCAGAGTTGCCTCCCTTCATCTGATCTGATTTGGCGATGGGTTTTCCAGAATTTTCTGGGGTGCAATTTTTCTTTGATTTGAACATACCGGTATTTGAAGGATCAGTTTCTTTTGTTTGAGCATTGCATGATTCACAAGCTATGTTACAAGCCTCATTAAAAATCTCATCAACAATGCTCCAGCATTTCTCATTCACAGAATTATCTCCAGACTGGCAAGCCTCCGACACGAGAACATCAATGATGGCACTGCAGTCTTGCATAGGGGTCATATTTGGCTTGAGGTCACCAGGCTGGTTGCCTTGACAACTGGGGTCATAGTGAACATCCTGTAAAGGGTTGCCAGAGAGTATGAGGTTTTTCAGATTTGTGAGGGTCCGTAGTTTCCACACTTCTGACCAGCTGAAATACAACATTCACAGTGTTACCTAACATTGTCGTCAGTAGAAGGGACAATAGAAGTTTCTTGCAAAATTCAAGCACTATACGTAATGAGGAGGACTGAGAGGTTCAAGGCATGTGGAATACAATCTTTTTAGATTTTGGTGAAATGTGGGATTGTAGATTAATAAATAGTGAAATTTACTGGATATTTTGGTTTCTGCTTAAAAATTGATGTACAGTCAAGAATCGGAAATCTGTAAACATTTCTGAACATGAAGAGTTGCTTGGACTCGCTAAGATCAAGTTCACACCAGAGAGGACAACTGCTGCAGATGGTACAACATGAAATGGATGAAACTTTTAAAAGAAAACTTCTGAAAATTTATTCAGACAGTAACGATAAATTAAAATCTGATCATGGACCTCTTGGCTCTGATTGCATTTACAGAGCAACTCAGTTCCTGAATAATAAACATATTTCCATTAACAACTTTCACCTCTTGATAGTATTATTGTTGAGCCGCAAACATTCCACTTTGGAAAAGTGCTTCCACTCGCATTCAAGGTCTTCAAAATCTGTGGAAAAAATGTATCTTGACATCATAGTCAAACACAACTAACGAAGAGAACCAATTTGGTTTCTATAACACAAACTTATTCATATTCCATCTGTATGACGGTAGCCTGTAAACAAACAAGTCTGAACCAGACAAACCAGTGATTATTATTATGAGCATTTACTTGTTTGTTGTTTAACTCTGCACTCAGCAATATTCCAGTGGTATGACGGTGGTCGAATCTGGACCAGACAATCCATTGATTAACATCATTAGCATCGGATCACGCGATAGGATTACGATGACATGCATTCAATCAAATCACTGATCGCTTTTCCATTAAGTCACCTGTTACAACAGGCATGGGTTGCTGGGGACATATTCTTACCCAGAATCCTCACAGGTAAATGTCATAAGCAACATTTGACACTGAGGTACATTGACAAGCAATCAATCAAGTCATGGAGCCTAACCACCCAATCCACTCAGTTGGATCTTAACACAAAGCATAGGCTGCTTGGAAGCTATCCTAATCCAGATTCCTTCAAACTGTCAGATTCCTTCAAACTGTCCTATTTGCCAAATTTTCCTACTAATCAGACTTTGTGGAGAAGTATGTACAATAATAACACACACAATGAAAGTTAAACATGCCCACTAATTCCTAAATTTTAAAAATAATAGACACAGCAAAGGCGGATCCAGCATTTTTAAAAGGGAGGGGTCCAAAATATCAATATCCTCTCTCAGATAGTTTTACTGCCTACAGCATACTACATCTGGTTTTCAAAAGGGTGGGGGGTCCGGAACCCCTAGTCAACCCCTCTGGATTCGCCTATGCACAGGAAACATATTGCATGTAGCCTTATATTTTGCAGAATTTCTGTATCAATGCACATAGAAATGGAAGCAAATTAATCATTGAATTCCATAGCTCCCCCGCCTTCTCTAACGTATAGAGCGTACAGGACATACCATTCCCACACACATGCAGCTCTCTCAGAGAAGGCAATCTTTGTCCTAGTGCCTCCACCTCTGTCCATGTGATGCCAGTCTTGTTCAGAACAAGGTTTTCCACGGCTGGCAGTTGGTGTGGCCAGTCACGAAGCAGGGCCTGATTAAAAGGAGATTGTTTGTCTTTTATACATGGTGAAGAAAACAAATCATCATTCATGCATATTTGTAACAAAAATTGCATAATACCAACATACAGGAAATTAGGATGAACTGTATTTGACAGCAGTAAACACAATGTGTTACCCAAATTCCAATATTCTACCATGAATTTGGAACCGTGGTCTAGTGGTAGAGCGTCCGCCCGGAGAGCGGAAAATTCGGGGTTCGATCCCCAGCCTCCTCATACTAAAAGACGTTAAAGATGGTACTTGTTGTTACCCTGTCTGGTGCTCGGCATTAAGGGGCTAAAACAAGGACTGGTCGGCTCGGAGTTAGTATACTGTATCTGAGTGGGGTATTCATGTTAAACTGCGTCATGGTATCTCAGTGAGCTAGCACTATAAAGCGGTATCAGTCCAAACTAGTACAAGCAGCCACACACACACACATGTGCATGCACGTCACTATATGGAATAATCTTGGACGCGACGTTAAACCCAATTTCACCTCACCTCACCTCACCATGAATTTGGAGATTCCTAGATTCTGATTGGTCAATGAGAGGTTATCAAATCATGTCTGAATGAAACAGCTGAATTGAAGACCTCATCATTGCTAATATTTATAGAATAGTACTTCTTTTCCAATCATTTACGATAGGCCTTTTTAAATAACAAAATAATCATAATTATAGGTTAAACGCAAAGTTGCTGTTACTACAATATTCAAAGGATGTGTGGCAATATATCCTGTGCAGAAAACATGATAGAAATATCCAAAGAGAATGTATTTCAAGTTTTGGGGACAATGGAGAGCTTGAAATTTGGCGCTTTTCCATATACAACTATGAGGTCATATCTTTTGCGTCACAATCAGCAGGATGACGTCATAATAGTGATGTGTGGTGTAGAACGAAACCTTGCTTGTTTAGTTTTCAAAAAGGGTGCCCACCAAGCTTACGAAGTTGTTGTACTACATGCTTTCAGTGTCAGTGAATCAGTACGGTGTAAAATAACTGACTGACCATATACAGAGCCATCTTTTGTTTAAAGCTGTTGTCTGTAGTTCAGATGGACAACCCACTTAAAACAATGCATTCAACCCATGTCATTTCACTCAATATCTTCAAATAACCAAAAGAGTTGTGTTTTGGAAACCTATATGTAAACCCACTGTGTTTTCAATGTACAGCTAGGTTATCTGTAGATTCTTTTCAATGAATAGCTTGGTAACCCGCAGATTTAAGTGTTCAATTTAACATTTGAAATCTCACAATGCACTTTCGGTTCAAAATACTATTCAGCATGGTTAAATCTACAGGTAACCTAGCTCTGCATTGAAAACATAGTATGTTTATCTCCTAATTTAATGACTTTGGCCCTTGTATTTTGCGAGTCAAACAATCATATACAAACAATTCTCTTGAAACCATGGAATCTCTAAAGATCATATCCATGAAGAAATTCTAGTATTGAAGATTACAAGATTCTAACTGAGATTCAACTGTAGTCCCAAAGTCATGTTATGACTGAACAGCTTACCTCATCTTTCATAAGTTTGTTTCCACTGAGATTGACAAACTTGAGCTTGGGGAGTTTTGAAATTATCTGCAGGATTTCTGACCAGTTGTCAATGTTGTTACATGCAAGGTCAAGGTCAACCACATTAGGGCAGATGGAGGTGAGTCCTTCCTGTGGCAGTCCAGCGTGGGATATGTTATGTCGGTCTAACACCTGAAATACACCACAATATGCTTTAATGCTAATATTTGACTAACCGGTGTTCAATATTAAGCATGGAATTAAAAGATTCCTTGTTATACCCTATTTAGGTGTCCCTTGATTGAAATACTATGGGCACAAACCTCAAGGACCCTGGGACCCACCTTAATTTCAAACACTGCTTACAGGGTCACACTGTTATGTTCTAGTTGATATGAAATATACTACTCAAAAGATGTTCAAGAACACTTGATTTTTTATCTGGCATGACAGATTAACTATAGTCCTATGGAAATATTGGGAGTTCTTTAACTTCTTTTGAGTTGCATACAAATTTAAAAATATGACATTTTTAACCTAGTGTCATGATATACATTCTTGAACTAAATAACAGGTGGAAACTAAATAACGGATTGAAAAGAATTAACATAAATGTCAGTGTCCATCTGTTGTGTATGAAAAGCAAATTTGGGTATATCCCAAATACAATCTGATGAGTTGTGTTATTGAAATCCCCTAGGGATAAGATTTTCCATAGAAAGCCTATTTAATTCCTGACAAGAAACTGGGTACAGTCTGGCAACAAAGTTACTTGGCCAAGCAAGGGCAGATCCAGTACCCGAGTTACCTGTCCCAGCCCTAACTGGACTGGAGAATTATGTACACCAATTTGCAAAACATGTGTCAGAACTTCAGTCATTGTAAGTTATGATGATGACAAGTGATTACCAAGCGGAGTACCACATAGCATGGGTCATACTTTGTTGTTTACACATGCATTTGTGACAATTGTCCGTTACAACCTATCTTCAATAATATCTCTCCACCTCTACAGCAAACACAAGTTTGAACATCAAGTCATTATAGACTATTTAAACAAAGGCTTGTGTGAACAGAGCACCCAAGAAGGACAATTCTGTGTCCAGCCACAATAGAGACCCTAGTCCAGGTATTCAACCAGCTGGTTATCACCGACACATATTCAATCAGCTGTTACTAAACAGCTGTCTCTGAACACATCTAGTACCCAGTGGGATGCTGACAGAAGCTAACATAAGCATTAATAACAGCCTTTGAACCATTTCTAGCTTGACCAGTCAGTTATAGCATAAGCATTGTGTTCCTGTACAATCTTCGTGCTTGAGTCTTACACATCAGTGCCTTTGACTCTGGCATTTTGCCAGCATTGTGTAACACTGATACACAGAATAAACATGACCTTATCCAGCCTTTGTGTATAACAGGATTAGAGATCAACAACAGTACGAGCAGGAGGCTGTGACATATAATAAATACGAGGGCTGGGAGCAAGAATGACAATACAATAAAGTGACATATTTAGATTTCTTTATATATATTCAAATCTAATTTAATAAATAATATTTGGGTGTTTTTGTTATAATTAAGATTCAAAATTATTCCATTTATCATGGATGATCGAATTTTAGTTCAGCTTTGAATGAATTATTTTTCACACATACACACACACAAACACATATATATGAATGATATGAATGAATTTGGGAAGGGTAATAAATTGAGCATATCATGTAAATAACAAACGTCAGATAAAAGACATTATCATACCTCAAAGTCAGAAAGATGAGATCTGATTGGTTCACGTTATCTTAAAAAAATATAATGTATCCCGCCTGGGAGGGAAATAAATTTCTTAGCAGGGGAAAAATCCCTTATACCCCGCCACAAAGATAATAGGCTGCACATGGATTTCTGAGCAGGAGAACAAAGCCCTTATACCCCGCTTCGAAGCAAAAATCTGCACGCCTTTTCCGAATCAATGGAAGTCACGTGACACAGCACAAGCTAACCTCAGCTCAATCGAACAGCTGTTTTCCATCAATTTTGAATTTGTTTGAATTACTTTATAATGTCATACTAACATGTCAGTAGGATAAATTCTATGTAGCAGGACCACAAAGGGTACATGGAGTTTTATGCATTCCTTGTTAGATTTTATACCACGAGACGGAGGCAAGTGGAACAAGGAGCTCATTAAACCCCATGGACCCCTCGTGATCCTGCTACAACTTATAATGTTTCAAGGCCTGTTACACTACAGTGTTTTCAGCTATGTTTATGTTGCTGAGTTTATCAAGCGTATTGTAAATAGAATTGCATATTAATTCATCCTTATTCTAATAAAGAATACAAAGAAAGAATATCAAAATACTTAAATGTATGTTTTGTTCTTTTCTCATTAACAATCAATCATTATTTGACCATCAGTCTTTGTTTTTCAAACCAATGATGAATCCTGAAATTTAACCAATTCCTATCACGACTTGTCCTGCACTGCCTACAGGGTATCTCCGCCATGTCGATATGATCGTACATTAATTGCTTTTTCATAACACCTCTAGTCAATGAGGATATGTGTGCCTGGGAGAAGTTTTGAATAATTCAATCATTCATGATCAACTAATCAACATGAGGCTTTTCAACAAAGACTTTCCCTTGATGTTTAATTGATTGAGACTCAAGAAACTCAATCAATCCAACTCATTGTTTGCTTCTTTGTGTCATTCTTCTTGAGATTTTCCCATGGGTTAAAAGAGGAGAAATCTGGCTTCATGCTTCTTTTGACCAAATTATTAGAAGCACACTACATTTAATGAACCAAATAATCAATTGTATCATATGTTACAAATGACCCCAAAACAACTACAGATGACTTTTGATACATGATCTCTGCTCTATATTAGATGTAGTTCAGGTAACATGCTCATAACAGCAATCGAATATTAGGTACAGGTAAAAATATTTGTTGGATACATATTTTGATGAGGTTGTATATCAGTTAGTTACAGATATGATAAAAAATAAGGGTTGTTCTGTGCTTAATTTGGTGTCATAGTCATCATGTTCAGGATTTGTGTAAAAAGTTTCTTTGCATTCTTTTATAAAAAAATGAGAAATATATCCCACTATTTAAGCTCTCTGCAATAAATTGGTGTCATTTTACAAATATTTGATTTCATGAATGCTAATTAGTTTTTCCAGGTTTTAGAATGTCAAATGTAAACAGTGTTACTTGAATAAACAAATGGGATAAACCAGGATTGCAGAGCTGGGAGGGTAGTCTGGCAATGGGATTAATTACCTTTGATTGCACAAGGTGTTGTTGGAACAACATGCAATCTACTACCAACAAGTACCAATACACAGACGAGCAATTAAATACCCCCACCCTCCCTCAACAGCTTGCTCCCACAAATCAATACTGTAATAGACACAGTAATAGCCAGAATACTTGGAACGGCCTTATGGATAATGCAATTCACACTCCAGACATGCCAGTTTTCCAACACATGATCATTTAATCATCTCATCAACTTATTAGCATTTGAACTCCACATCTAGAGACTAACAATGCTTTTGTTGCAGACCATGTCTATAATAATGTATCATTATATTATTATATATTTATACTATTATATTTCTGTGTAAAATAAAACAGTTACGTAGCCAATTTTAGTGATGTTATTATAAACCTAAATGACAAATGAAAGAAAAAAAGCACAGGTGGTTAACTATGTTGTTAAAAACATAATGAATCATTTACTTTCAAGAATGCAGGATTCTTTTTTATGATTACATGTTGATATGATAAACATCTTTCCCCTACTAAATGACATTCTAAGTGAATCAATAAATTAAAATAATATTTTAACCTAGTGTTAATTATCATTCATCCACACAAACTATCTAAACAAAATGTTCAATTTTCGCACCACTATACAAATGATTTTTGTACGAACAACAAAAAATTGGGCAAAAAATATGGCTAGTCTACCAGGAAATAACCGACAAGTGGGATTGCACGCAACTATATGTGCCATGACATGGCATTAATAACTTTCTGTGGACAGATGATGCTTTGATACATTCATAAATAAAAATTCTACTTACGACATTTCTCAGATGTGCGAGTTCAGCGTCTGTTCCATTGTTGCGTGGTTTACCTGTGATCACGATGTGCACGAACTCATAATTATCATCATTCATATTAACGCAGTATTTCTCTGTAAGGGCATCCAAAAATGACCTTTTTCTGACCAACCGTTTGCGACTGACATTTCTTGAGTTGTTGTTATTCTGCTCCATGCCTTCAGACATTACCTGAGTCTCAGGTATGTGTTCCATTTTGAGTTTCAGACACCTGAGCTAAAGCGTATATTTAGTAAATGTCATCACAATGTTGACGCCACGCCAACTTGTTTTTGTTTTGGTAGTCGTGATGTCCTCTGTGCATTTTATGATAATTTTGTATTGTAAAATAACTTAAATTGGATATATTAGCATTTTTGACACTCCAAGTATCTTTTATATATTAATGAGATCGATATTGTTGTCCATTATGAATATATACCTTTTGATAACTGAAATAACCATGTTAAATATATTGTTGAACATCAAGTTAGTTCTAAAAATAGTGACCAATCGAAAAAATTGTTTTGCGAAGCTGCATGTCACGCACTTCCCTTTCTGACGTCATTGCCGGGTTGCAAGCGAGAGAAAGATGGCAGATTTTGACAATTTCGAGGGTGCTAATACCGCAGAGGAAGATCCTGCAGCGGAATTTCTTGCAAGAGAACAAACGGAACTTGCAGGATTGGAAGATGATAACTTCGCAGGAGATAGCTCGGCACAGCCAGGGGGAGGTATGCAGTGAAAGGGTTATTTTCTTATTCGAAACCACCCATATTTTCTCCACGCCCCCACCCTAGGCCTTATTTTTACGACGGTCGCTGCATTTGTACAACCAGCCTTAGACATTTCACTGGTCCTATAGTCCTTGCCAAACTGCCCAATAGTTAAGGTATCATAAGGACTAGGAGAAATTTGCCATCTGAAAGGGTTTGCTATATGTTATCACTATAAGGACAAGTGGACTGAAACACAGGAACTCGATGAATAGCGTGTATAGCATAATATATTCGTATTAAAAAAATCACACCCCTCTCTATACATATAGACAAGGAATGACACCCGCCATATTGGTTCTTATTCAAGATTTCACACTCTGTTCGAATCACAGCTCGATATCGCATGAAATGTGATTGTAACTCATTTCCAGATCTTTCAACCTATTCGAACTTGCTAAACCAACCATAGGCTACACAATCATGTTCATCTGTGGTCACCTTACCTCATATTTATTTTAAAACATCCATGAAATCTCAAACGTAAGATTTGCCGCTGAGGTAAACAGAAAAAGGTGGCCGGAAATTATGGTGCTACACAAGCTTGAACTCAGCAAACTCCTTCAGTTCAAATTCTATTCATAGCATATCGTGTTCTCAAAAACTGACAGTAGATAGCTCAGATTCTATCATCCTGAACTCTACAAACTATGCCTCAACAATGTTCATATTATTCTATTCAAATCTGATATACAAGCCACCTACCATGATACAGTAAGAAAGAGATGAGCTGAAATTGGGTTTAACGTCACGTCCAAGATTATTGCACTTATATAGCGACGTGCATGCATGTGTGTGTGTGTGGCTGCTTGTACTAGTCCGGACTGATGCCGATTTATAGTGCTAGCCCACTGAGATACCATGCCACAGTTTAACATGGATACCCCAATCAGACACAGTATACTGACTCCGAGCCGACCAGTCCTTGTTTTAGCCCCTTAATGCCGAGCGCCAGACAGGGTAACAACAAGTACCATCTTTTAACGTCTTTCGATATGACGCGGCCAGGGATCGAACACATGACCTTCCGCTCTCCGGGCGGACGCTCTACCACTAGACCACGGAGGCGGTCCAGTAAGAAAGATATTAGTATCTGAATCCACATTCCTCCACCATTTCACATTAACTTACTTCCCTCTCTTTCTGCACCTTTCTCACTCGCCTTTATGATATTAACACGAGTACTGAAAAATTGAATGGTATAAAGCGTTCAACATATCAGACAGGTATTTTTAGAATCATATCGATAATTGAGTTATGTACTTTTCTTCTGTCAACTTTGCATAAACTGTTTTCATTTTTGAAATATGTTTTTTCTTATCAACTCATTTTATTGTTCCAGGTGACTTTGATGCTTTTGGCAGTCAAGCCACAGAGCCTGCAGCTCAGGTAATACTTTAGCTAATCCTTTAGACACATCTTTTTGAAATGTGTTTTTTTTTTTACTGTGTTTTGCAATACTAACATGATTGAAGTAGGATATTTTCATATTGCTGTCTATTCATTTACTTGTTTATCTTTAAAGAATGTCAAACCTGTAAAAACAATGAGCATAAGTAATGTATTATGTCATAATAACTTCACTAGCTATGAATCACATGGGGATGGGGGATGCAGGGTAAGAATTGCTCCCCAGCAACCTATGCTGATCATGAAAGGCGACTTGTAAGGTTGTCAGAATCAGTGACTTAGTTGATTGTGTGTCTTCGTACCCCAGCGGCATGGATTGTTGCTCACGATTATGACCACTGGATTTACTGGCTGCAGTCATATAGCTGGAATATTGCTGAGTGCTGCATGAAACAACAAACAGAACAAAAACAAACACAAGGTAGAAAGGCAAACCTAACAGCTGTTTCCTTCATCTGGCATTTTAATGTTGGTAAAGTTTGGTGAAGTAGGAAAACTCATTATCTGGATACAGTAACGGACATTTCAAATTATTATGGTAATTATTAGTGACATTATGCACAGTACTTTGATCTCAATGCATGGTACACCAATATGTATAACTATTGTATTGGATATTGTGCTGTGTGCTGCATGAATTATGGTAGAAACCTAGCTTCCTGCATGGTTATGATTGTTGTACAATATCCCATGCTTGACTTTGTTATTTGTCATGCTATAGGAAGAAGAAGATGATGATGTTGATGATGAGTTTGCAGTGAGTTGGTTTAGTTCTACACTGTAGTCTGTTTCTTGTAGTGTCTGTCCAGTAGTTCTACATATATGGAAGACAGTGGGATGTCCTAACAGTGTGTATGTTTTGTATGTGATACATGTGCTACTGATTTGGGGGAAGGATTACAAACATAATCATTAAAATTATTGACAGTTACGCATAAGGATATCAGAAGAAACTGCTGTCATAAAAAGTATTTGTTTCTGAAAACAGTAAATAAAATTTATCTGTAAGATAATGATGATAGAATTAAGATCTGCTTAAAGTCAGTGAAAGCACTAACTCGACAGACTGCCATGATTGTTTGTTGAGAGCGTCAATATAACATTTTAAATACAAATGGACATTATTGCCTACCCATGGCTCATTATTCCAGAGGTTGTTAATCCAGGTGGATTTTATGATGATGGTTCTGTATGAATTACTGGAGCTTTACACTATTCATGTATTGCTTTGCTTCAGTAGAAATCACAGTCTCATTAAAATCCGATGTTTTACTCCGATATGATAGCTCTCTACCTGGAGATCTGAGGACGCTTCCATCTTTCTAATCGGCCAATCATCATCGAGGCTTCTAAATTCTTGGGGGGCGGTCGGGTAGCCTAGTGGTTAAAGCGTTTGCTCGTCACGCCGAAGACCCGGGTTCGATTCCCAACATGGGTACAATGTGTGAAGCCCATTTCTGGTGTCCCCCGCCGTGATATTGCTGGAATATTGCTAAAAGCGGCGTAAAACCATACTCACTCACTCACTCTAAATTCTTGGTATGAGTGAGTGAAGCATTCAAACCAGTATACATGGTATATCTGATTTCCGTATCTCCAAAATGAACAAAATCAACAAGTTCTAAACGTAGAAAGTATTGTGGCACCAATATTGTTGTGGGAATTTCATACCTCCTGTCATTTCTGAGTGCAGAGAGCTATCAGAGTAAAACATTTATTTTTTATGAAATTGTAGAAAATTAATTAGCTAATATGTACAGTGGCATTTGGTTTTGCCTTACTCGTTTCTTATTTCCTAACTATTTTCATCCAGTTTCTTCCATGCAGATATCTTTGAATCAGCTGCTGAGAGCTGAATCTTTGTCTTTTTTCTTGACATGCTTTTATATAGAAGGTCCTCTCTCAGTCTCTGTCCTTGTGGGAAACGGTTATGACCATAGTGACATCTTCAAACTCTTGATGCATACAGCATTGTTCAGACACATCTCCACCATCCCATGAACCCTTATCCCAGTTTAGAAAGTACCAACTCAGTAGATGTAAGACATGACCTGGTTGTTTCAGAATGATCTGTTTGGTGGTGGTCAAGGTGGTGGGTTTGAGATGGTAGGGGGAGACAACTCCTTGGGAGACGGACTCCTTGATATGGGGTCAGTAGAGCCTTCTGGAGGCCTGCTGGACATGGATGCTGCTCCACCATTGGTCAATGAACAGTCAGCCCCTGAACAATCTGTACCGGCAGTGAGCAGTTTGTATTACATCCCTGCCACCTCACTCCCTGTGTTTCCATTGCATTTAAAACTAACCGGTTATCATGGTTATCATTTGTTGAACAGTTAATACTGGTTTTCCCCATGTTGCCCAAGTGTTTGTATTTTGAAATAATAGTGACAGTATTCTGAAAGGAATCTTCAAACTTGTTAAGAGCAACTTTGGACATCGATGATCAAGATTGTTTGTTTTTTTAGGAAATTTAGAGAGAAAACATTATGCATGTCGTAAGCATGATGTTATTAGAAGTGAAACTGATGTTATGAACATACATCAGACCAAGATATTCAGTTGTTGTCCTTGATTACAAGCCTGACTGCAAGCTTTGGGCCATTGGTTATTGGCACGGACTGGTGACAGCGCTGTCAAACTGATGACATTGAGTTTGAACTAACCTTCATTTGGGAACTCCATGCAGAAGCAATAATGTTCCAAACACTTTTCTGTGTAGTGCACGTGGAAGCGCTACACCTCAATCATTCACATCCTTTTCATCTACAAGCATAATCCTAAACCAATATTCACAGGGCTCCAGATAATGTTTTTACATTTACTCACATGTCATCATTCACATTGGGTTTTGGTAAGTTTTCTTTGGGTATTCAGTGCTTTTACTCCCTTGGATCCTGTCTACTGGGTATTCTAACACCAACGAGTGGACACTGGTAAAATGATTCTGCTTAAATTGCTGTTTCATGTGACAAAATTGTATCTGTTCATGTGCTGGCACAAGTGTGCAGCATGTCATAATCTCACACCAGTGATTAACAATAAGCAGGACGTATCACCTTTTTATGCTTTATTCACTACAGTAAATTTCATGGATGCATTGTGTGATATATTATTACCCAGACTCACAGATTTTTGTTATGGTATTGTTGTTTTTTAATTTGTCATGTGTATTTGTATGTAAGCAACTCAAAATTACTGGGGTAATGGTGATTTATTTTGTGTATTTTACACAAATATGAAGCTTATCTGGAGCTCTGATGTTCAGCAGAACATGACATTGGTGACATCCTCCATTCCTTGTCAATACTTTATGATGGAGGGAAGTAGTGTATACAACATGATGAAGTTCTGACAGAGACCCTCCATTGCACTGGAACATGGTGTAGAAGATGTTGTAATTAAATTCTAGTTTTTCTGTAAATTGTTCTTACCTCTACACATTGAATGGGGAGATAATATATATTGGATCCATCGTTTGGAAAGTCCTAAATTGTTCCACTTTTTAAACATGTTAACATCACCATGGATACCTGAGAGCAAGGTGGATCTGCAGTATTGCCCTGTGTGTGTGTGCATTGCTTACACTACTGAGCAGATTGCCCAGGCCCTGTTTGGAGGTCCTGTAAATGTGACGACTGGCATAACAAAAATACTAACTCCCTATCTTGACGACAGATCCACAGACTTAGAAATTCATCATTCTTTAAGACTAGTCCAGAGGATTGATGTAAACCTTCTTTCCTTGTCCTTAAAGTTTGTAACTAGTCCTGCTTGAACAAGACAAAAATATTTGCTATTTTCATTTACTGTCAGTTTTATTCAGTTCTATTTTGTGGCAAAATGGAAGAATTGAGAACTGGTTAAGAATTATAGCCCACAAATGCAACCAGTCAGTGAGGACTACCAACATTGAATTTTTGCTTGTCTTCAGCACAATTTAGTAATTTCAGGCTAGCAGAATTGTGTGAATTTCAAAGGCTGATCTGCGTATGAACACTTCCATGTTGCTTGACTGTTGCTTTCCTTGTTTGTGATCTGTGCTCTTTGTGTTTCAGTTTGTTGCAAGCTCGTTGTTTGAAATCTGCACATTTGACGCATGTTGTTAATGATATACATAATGTACACGGTGTAACATGTTGTTTTACATGTTGTGGTTTGATTATTTACTTTGTACACAACTTCATATGGTGTTTTGTTGATCAATGATAACGTGTTACTAATTTATTTTCTTTTAACGTGTTACTAATTTATTTTCTTTAACATTAATTCATGCCATCAATCAGTTGTTAGTTCTTATGATTAGGGACAATCACAGCATACTTGTCAAAAACCTGATGTTGAAACTCCCTAAGCCAAACACTTCAAGGATACTGGAACCTGCCTTGTTGACAATGGTTGACACTGATGTTAGCCTTGTGGAACTGGAAGGCTATTTTGGTCCAAAATACAGCAGTGAACTCTATTGATATTTCAAGCAAGTCAAAAGTGGACCTGCTTTCCATTGAAAAATAGGCTGTAGACACAGCATGACCACAGCGTCTTGTACCATGACTTTCAACTGCTAATGAACTAGAAAGTAATTATAAGCTGTTGAGAACTGACAGGTCAGGATGCTTATCGTGTTGCTCCCGACACACTTGGACAAGTGGATAATTATTTGGTTTGGTTGATTTTGCAGACCAATGGCCCATCGGACGCTTATTCTGCCATCTCGCAGGTAGACACAGAAAGAGCTGAGCCTGAACAGATCAAACTTTGGAGAGAGGAACAGAAAAATAGATTAGAGAAAAAAGGTGTGTCTTTTGTGTGACTTTGTTTAAGGTGATACAGCATATGCACAGAGAGATGGCAACCAGCAGCTGAAATCATAATTTAAAAACCCATGAAGATTCGGGGTAGAATAGGTCTTAAGCAACCCATGCATACCGTAAAAGGCGACTATGCTTGTCGTAAGAGGCGACTTACAGGATCAGTTGGTCAGGCTCGCTGACTTGGTTGATGTATGTCATCCCAATTGCGTGGATTGTTGCTCATGATGGCAATCGCTGGATTGTCTGATCCAGACTCGATTATTTACCGACCGCGTCATATAGCTGGAATATTGCTGAGTGAGACGTTAAACAACAAACAAAACATGATTTTAAAAGGTATACCTTTCTATTAACAATAACAGTGATAAGGGTGGTAAAATTAGTGCTGCTCAGTATCCCAATTTGTGAAAGGCAAATGTGTATGATATAGTTACATGTCTTACCAGTATTGTTAATCATCACTCTCCAAAGTAATAAAAAACCTATGCTTATTTAAGCACTCTGTTGAAAATAAGAAACTTCTAATTGTGTGAAGAGGTCTGTTGGGTAGCCTAGTGGTTAGAGCTTTGGCCAGGTTGAAAGCTGGGAAAGTAACTACTGCATGTTGAAATTCAGATGTGGAAGAGGAGCAGAAGAAGGGGGATTGGCACGATGTGGCCAGGAAGGAACTCGAGGACTGGTACAAGCATCATGCTGAACAGCTGGAGAAGGCCAAGGAGAACAACAGGTAGAGCTGAACAAATACACATCTAGCAATTCATCATTCACATCTGGACTGCCTCTGTGGTCTAGTGGATAGAGCGCCTGCCCAGAGAGTGGAGGTTTGGGGCTGCGTCATACCAAAAGACGTTAATAGATGGTACTTGTTGTTACCCCGCCTGGTGTTCGACATTAAGGGGCTAAAACAATGACTGGTCAGCTCGAAGTCCGTATAAGGTGTCTGGGTGGGGTATTCATGTTAAACTGCGGCATGGTGTCTCAGTGGGCTTGCACTAAATATCGGTATTAGTCTGGACTGTTGCAAGCAGCCACACACATGTGCATGCATGTCACTGTATAAGTGAAACAATCTTGAACGCGATGTATAACCCCATTTCATCAATGTATGTTATGCATTTCAAATATTCCCATTCAAGATTCTCTTTCTTCACGGGGGCACGGGTGGCCCTGTCGTCTAAGGCGCCGCGATTCGCTGTGCAGAGTTGCGTCCCTTGGGCACACCAGAAACCTATGATTGTGGGTTCGAATCACGGTTCGCCCCGATTATGTTTCTAGGTTTGTCAGCACCATACCCGTGCTCGTGGGTTTCACCGAAGTGGTAAACGTCTGAGACCTGCATCACTTCAGGCTTTCCTCCCACATTAAGCTGACACACCACAATATAACTGGAATACTGTTAAAAACGGCGTTAAACCCAACTCACTCACTTTCTTCACAGTAGGATACCATGTTGAGGAAACATCTCTGACACTATTTTTTTTATTCAGTATTCTGTAATGCTCATTCCTGTGCCTTAGGAGCATGCAATTTTGTCATCACCCTACTCACTCCGTCACTTAAACTGCAAGACTCTTATAGACTATTATATGCCACTTAAAAGAAGTTCTTGAACACCTGACTTGTTCTTTAACCTCTTTTGAGTATAGATAAGTGTATAAAGGATTATCAATTTGCCTGTGGCACAGAAACCTTGTGCACATTTGTTCTGACCCCTCCCGGATATCTCATGGCATGACATCAGGTTAAATCCAACTAATCCATAGTGTATTTCAGAATGGTGCTTTGTGTAACATGTACGTTCGTGGGGAAGACTGTCTAGCCCAATCTTGGACTGCTGTTTTTCATTTCTAAAACCTAATATGTATTTGAGAAGAATATTCACTCTCACTCACTATTTTTCAGAGCTGCCGAGACTGCTTTCATCAAGGAACGTGATGAGTCCATCCCTGGAGCTCAGTGGGAGAAAATATGTCGGTTGTGTGAGTTCAACCCCAAGAACGTGAAGTCCACAAAAGATGTGTCCAGAATGCGCTCCATGTTGCTGCAGCTTAAACAAACCCCACTTGTTCGCTAGATGTTCATCTTATCCGTTCTAGATTATCTAGGTTGTCTATAAGGAATAGGGAAGGATGAAGTCGTCGTATCTTTTTATTTCCACAAAATAAGGTCCAAGTTACTCTTTCCTATATTGTTTACTACATTTTGGATCAAACACACATGGAAATCTTATTCAGAAATTTATTGAATTGACATTTTTATCTTTGGTCAGAATTGTAAATCCTTCAAAGGATTGGTTGTAGGAAGTGAGAGGCACCCTTGCCCTTTCCTCAGATAGTCCGGAATCATCGTGTTCCAACCACCATCTATGGTGGTCGACAAGTCAGCCTTGCTGCACATCCAAAGGTGCCCATGTATTTGTGTTTCATAGTTTGTTAAAATGTATACTCTGATCACTCATTGTAGGCAGGGACAATATCCAGATGGTGTTCCACAACCTGCATCAATATTCATCTTTGTTTGTGATATGAAAGTTTTATCAGGAATTATTCCTGTATGAGGAAAGGAGTAACTCACTTTCGATATAGTTAAGGAAATTTAGGGCATCTGCACTGACTATAATAATCAAACATGTATGTTGTAGATATTTACTGTTGTGGTTGGTTAAGAGAATGCATTGAAACCATGCAGGAATCATGCAGGAATCAAGCAGCAAATGATTATGAAATTACTGTAATTTGCTGATCAAGGAGTGAGTGTATGTCATTAGTCACATTTTTCAGTTACCATGGTTACTGTCAATTTCAGATCGTAGAGTGCAATTGTTTGTTGGAGATTTTAGAGTGAGAAATTTGTGTCTATGAATGACTGCATTCCAGGTGTATATTTATTTGACATGTCTACAAATAAACATTATCAGTTATATTTGTTAAATTGTTTGTTCTGACTAATGGTTCTCAAGGCACAGAAACAAGTAAAGAAATAGTCTCAACTACCAACAAAAAATAATGTAAAAATTAGCTTTTACTGTTTCAGCATCTGAAATTTTGAAAGGCAGTAGAAAGTATGTCTTCCATGTTTTGTTTGATAAATTCTTGTGGGCCTACTGCTGATCAAGTGAAGAATGGCCTTCATGGGAATTGGCTGCCTTGTTTGTTAAGGTTCATGCTGTTTTCTTATACATTAGGGGGAAATAATCTGTTTCTGACTAACCAAGTCTCATAGCAACATTTAATTTGATTTTCCACTCTTGACTTTCACACTATGGCCCCTGCAGTGATTCCGGGTTAGAGCTGGTCGACAGCTGCCTATGCTGGTTGTGACAGGTGACCTAGTGGATCAGGTGGTCAGACTTGCTTGATGGCATGTCATCATACACTGACAATGTGGATTGTTGCACACAATATCAATCACTGGATTGTCTGGTCCAGACTCGATGATTTTCAGGCTATTGTTCTAGCAACAAAAACAAGCATGCATGCACACCCACACACGTTGCTTGGCTGATTGTGTGTGGTGTGAATCATTGCTTGTGCTTTCAATGATTTACCTGGTCCAGACTTGATTGTTATAGCTGGAATATGGCTCAGTGTGTGATAAACGGGCACGGGTGGCCCAGTCAAAGGCACCACGATTTGCTGTGCAAGGTTGCGTCCATTGGGCACGCCAGAAACCTATGATTGTGGGTTCAAATCCTGGTTCGCCCCGATTATGTTTCTAGGTTTGTCAGCACCATTCCCATCACGTGGGTTTCACTGAAGTGGTAAACGTCTGAGACCTGCATCACTTTGGGCCTTCCTCCAACATTAAGCTGACACACCGCGATATAACTGGAATACTGTTAAAAGTGGTTTTAAACCCAACTCACTCACTCACTCACTCATTCAGTATGTGATAAACAACATTCACTCACATTCCATTTTTTGTTTTGTTGATGTGCCAATCTAAAGTTGAACTTTCTTGGCAGGCAATGAGAACAGCCCATACAGTCTGTGTGTGAAAACAAACTTCAAATTACAGCGAACAATATCAGCTTGATGCCCCTTTATATCCTGATTAGTGTATGTCATATTTGCTTGATGTGACACACCTTGCATAAGATTGTCCAATATGCATCATGATAAGGATGTGACACCTGGTACCTGCCACACCAGCCACACAAAGTACACAACACTGACTGCCATGTGTCAGCCTACATTTTTCGTTTGTTGTTTAGGTCACACTCAACAGTATTCTAGCTATATATGACAACAGTCTAAATAATCTAGTCTGGGCCAGACAATCCAGTGAATGAGCATCGATCCACACTAACATGCAACAACCAATCAGCTCGTCTGACCACCCCATCCTGTTATAAGAATCGGTTGCTGAAGACCAATTCTAATAAGATCTTCACGGATTGACACTTGTTATTGGGGTGGTCTTGTGGTAGAGCGTCCGCCCGGAGAGCGGAAGGTCCAGGGTTCGATCCCGGGCCGCGTCATACAAAAAGACGTTAAAAGATTGTACTTGTTGTTACCCTGTCTGGCGCTCGGCATTAAGGGGCTAAAACAAGGACTGGTCGGCTCGGAGTCAGTATACTGTGTCTGAGTGGGGTATTCATGTTAAACTGCGGCATGGTATCTCAGTGGGCTAGCACTATAAATCGGCATCAGTCCGGACTAGTACAAGCAGCCACACACACACATACACGTGCATGCACGTCGCTATATAAGTGCAATAATCTTGGACGCGACGTTAAACCCAATTTCACCTCACCTCACTTGTTATTGGGTATGAGGAGAAGAAATGAGAGTAAGAAATTTGTTCTCGCATCCTGTCCAAGGATGCGTCTTGGTGAAGCTCGATGTGGAAAGGCTAGTCGCTGTCCCATGTTGCTAGGCATAGGCGGTTTCAGAGGTGGGGGCCCGGACCACCCCACATCCCAAACCCCTTTTGAAAACCAAATGTAGTATGTGTGTTGACCATATCCTAACTAGCGCTCTAGATAAGCTGCGTTTCTGCGTAAAATACGCAAAATAAATTACCATTACCCAACTAGTTTTGTGTCGCTGGCGTTTAAGAACACGCTGCGTAATTACCCAATGTATTCTTTTCACTTTGCTACATGTATTTCTTTAGATCTTTATGTACTGATCGAATGCAGGCATCACGTAACATGGCGCTGCCCTCTCGTTCAGAAGTCATCTGAAGCTTCATTTTAAGCAGAATTAGTTTTGAAAAAACGTATTCTCTTTGGTGTAAAATATCTAATAGACCGAACTCATTTGCGTAGCACATACTGAATACCGGAAGAAAATTAGCAATCCCCAATGTGAACGATAACATGTGAGTAAATGGTCAAAAGCTAAACAACCATCTTGACCACAGTCCTACCACTTATTTGTTTTTTCTTCTATACCTTGCTGCCTTATACAGAGTTTGAAAACCCCGAACATATCCATGACTTGGTGATGTGGACCGCCATTTATTGATAAGGCCATTCATGTGTGAGAATGATAAGTATAATTGACAGACTGCTAAGGGGCAGAAAGCAACAATATCACACGATACCATGTGTTTGCATGAATATGAGACCCGTGAAGCTCCGGGGTAGAATAGGTCTTCAGCAACCCAGGCTTGCAGTAAAAGGCGACTATGCTGGTCGTAAGAGGCGACGAACGGGATCGTGTGGTCAGACTCGCTGACTTTGTTGATGCATGTCGTCGTATCCCAATTGCGTGGATCGATGCTCATGATGTCAATCACTGGATTGTCTGACCCAGGCTCAATTATTTACAGACCGCCATGATATAGCTGACATATTGCTGAGTGCGACGTTAAACAACAAACAAACAAACATTATTATGATATCAAGAAGCTGTACATCAGAGAGAATAACAATTTGAGCTTCAGAGTGAGTGAGTAAATGTTGATTTTCAGATTGAATAAGTGATGATAAACCCGACAAATATGCCTTGGTTTCGACTTTAGGTACGCCGTATGTCGAGCCCCGTTAAGTGGTATTCCGAACAGTGCCGTACGTTGGATGCAAAGAGGATGCCAATATTTCAATGTTGAAATATATTTTTCTTTGGCACCCCCAATAGGAGTTGTGAGCGAACGAATATATCTGCCTTGGTTTCAAATATGACCAACATACTCAATTTGATCAGCCTGCTATCAGACTAATTAATCAGTTGATGGAGTTTAATTATTTCCCTTGACCCAGTGTCATCATCTGTGGCCCCCAGACCCCTGCGCTGTGACCCACGTATCAGATAGGTATCACCTTCCGTCACTCAAGCTCTATCGCCGAGATCCAGGTGTCACCTGCATGTATCGATTACGTTGTTGAACTCTGACACGGAAGTACCACCATGTCGGGCTCTCGCTCAAATTGAGATATCATAAGAGTTAATCACACTTATTTAGATATCTTTAAAAAGATAAAGCTAATTGACTTGGGATGTTGTTAGTTAAAAAACACATTATCCAATGACATCAACATTCTTCAGTTATGAAGCCGTTTCTAGTGTGACGTCATTCGACCTTACATCACGAAAAGATTCGAATGACGTCAACAATGCCATCAGGCTGACGTAAACAGTACACCGGTGCGCTAAAGTGGTATTTGCAGTAGTTCACATGCGATACTTATAAACTCCGTTTTTTCTAACCCTAGGGTTAATTACTAAAAGTCATACAAACCCAGCACTTATATATCGGCTATTAACAAATCCATAGAATGATAGATAGGTCGCCCAAAGAACAGTTTAAGGCACGCGGCCGCAGCTTGTATTGGTGGCAACCAAATAACCAATAGGCTGTAATGAAATGTTATTCCCAGTACAGCTCACGTGTTTAAATCAATAATACAGGCTGTTGGCACATGAGTCTGGAGTTCTGATGAAAATAATATCATTTTAAGCCGTCCTTTATTAACAATAAAATACCCAATCTCTGTAAGAACAATACTAGCGTGAGACACGTTTGGTAGTAAAACAAAGACATACAATTCTATCATTTCAATCAGAACGTCCTTAGCTTCCCATTCCCGTTGCAATCGGTATAATGTTATATCATTATACGTTCATACCGCGGCAGTTGAGTCTGAATTTGATATGGTTAATGAGTATAGATTATATGTAAGTGATACAATTTCCTGACCGTTTTTTTATTTAATAAGTTCAATATTATGTTCAAAGGCACAATCAACACTTAATTTCAAATGGGGTGTTAACTGGAGACATTGATTTTTGTGAGTTTTTATACATCACAGTGTTATAGTTGAAGTTTCGTTATTTGTAATTTTTGCTGTTTTGCTTTACGCTCAAAGGAATCTGTTTCGTTGGAAACTTTGGAAAACTGAATAATAAGTACATGCAGTTTGGGGCAAAATACAGACAATACTATAGATACGGCGATTTCTACCTTCTTTCTTTGAAATAAAAATACATTCTTCGTTTATGCATGGAATGTAGCATTGTTTTTTTGTTGTTTTGTTTTTTATCTGTATGTGTGTGTGTGGGTGTGTGGGGTGTGTGTGTGGAGAGAGTGTGTGTGTGTGGGTGTGTGGGGTGTGTGTGTGGAGAAAGTGTGTGGGGTGGGGGGTGGGGTGGTGGAGTGGAGTGGAGTGGAGGTGTTGTACATTTTAGATCGTGAAATGTGTTTCTATTTCATGCCCGGGATGTAGAGAATAAACCTCGAAAATAATTATCTATAAATATATAATATAATTGGTTGGTTGGTTGTTTAACGCCGCACTCAGAAATATTCCAGCTGAATGACGGCGGTCTGTACATAATCGAGTCTGGACCAGACAATCCAGTGATTGACATCATGAGCATCGATCCACGCAATTGGGAAAGATGACATGCTTCAACCAAGTCAGCGAGCCTGACCTCCCGATCCCGTTAGTCGCATCTTACGACATTATCTACAGCGACGTATTTATATGTACATCTTTGTAGCTATATAGTTGAAAGTGTATAAAGATTCTTATCTGGTCTAGTTAATCTGTGGGGCCGGTCGGGTAGCCTAGTGGTTAAAGCGTTCGCTCGTCACGCCGAAGACCCGGTTCGATTCCCGACATTGGTACAATGTGTAAGTCCATTTCTGGTGTCCCCCGCCGTGATATTGCTGGAATATTGTTAAAAGCGGTGTAAAATCATACTCACTAGTTAATCGGTGCGTAGACATTAGAGCAATCTGTCCTACACATGGATGAACCTGCCGTCGGCGTAACGTTATCTGATGAACTTGGCTCCCTGGCGGATGCAACAGGAGGGATACATTACACTGTTCGAGAAATACGATAATGATGATATATATGTTCGTGTATTATATCCATGTGTAAAGTTCATGTAAATAACAATACTGTATCCACTGTGGCGATATCGCCATATTGTGTCACATGGAATGTTTGTCACACGAGCTTGATCGCTGCTGGTATGTTAGATATTACTGTCATACATTTCACAGCTACATGTGTGACGACTATTTAAAATAGTAGTTTCGACCAGACAAACCAGTGTACGATATGTGGTCAACGTAACATTCAACGTCGTCGTCGTAGAAGATGCAGATTCGACTTGTTCACAATGAAATCCAAATACCTCGATTACTCATTATTCACTGTGGCCACCGAATGTTCATTTATTCGGCTCTTTCAACAAACAGGGGTCTCGTGGATAAATTTTGTCAAGAAATCACCATGCAGCTGCTTAAAACAGTATGAAAGAAATTCAAAGATCGTTGAAGATATATTTTTAGGAAGAATGTACTCTGCAATCGATTGTCTTCCGATATTGCGCCCTGCCACCGCAATTATAAAATATCTTCCTATCAAAAGGTTAAATAAAAGATATGTTACATATCTTAAGTGTCCTGTCCTTTTTGAATTTATAATTGTAAAATTTGAGCAAACTATCACAATTTAATAATTCATAACCGGGTGAGACAAATGCTAGGAAGTTAAATGGAAATAGATATTTCTCCATTTTCTCGTCGGTATTAGTGATTATTTTAGGTAATAACAGTTCAATATTACTTGTTTGAATTAGGGAGTAACATATGTTTGGATACAATGTGACATTCATTGATCGAATCGTGTGATGAGGAGAGTTACTTCCCTTGGAGGGAAGTACCGGCTTATATTTGACACGTACTGCAGCTGTTGTCCAATCAGAAAACTCCACGATCCGTATTGGAGGGCCTAGTCAACGTGTGTTGTCTCCACGCAAAATACACACTAAAGTATCGGCTTGTTCATTCAATCTCGCAAACCCGGTTGGTGATAGACGTGCACAACATGTTAGGTAAGTGCTTGGTGACCTAATACATCTAATGATAATTCAAGATTTATTTTCCACTGTATGTTTTCTGTAGAGGGGAGGGCGATGCAGTGCCACGAGTGGCACCAAGAGGTGTTATTATTGTTTCTTGTCACCAGTTTTCGTGAGCTAAACCGCTGAACTCGTGATTTCGAACAGGGACGCATTTACTGATATTGGTATTGATATAATTAATCAGTAAGTGACAACATTTGCGTAATGTTTAACAAAGCGATGTTGGTCAATTCAGACGATTTACGTGTATTCTGGGTATTCATGTTGGGGAGCCCACTTGGAGTTGTACGTTTCTTTGGCTCCCCCCCAAATCCAACATTTTTCTTAATTTCAACACATTCAATGTTCTGTTTTCCTATTCTGGACAGGCTGTAACAACTACATGAAATGTTATATATATCAATTATGTATTAATGATGACATTGATGTGACAAATCAGAACTTTACGTTTATTTGATGACATAGTCACATACTGTAAAAGTCCGTACAGATGTTTGGATTTATCAAGACCTTTCAACTGATTGATTCCTATTTGCATGAGACATTTCCTATTCCCAGATATGGAAGTAGAAATTGTTTTATGTCAAATGTAGAAGTTTTTTTATATATATTTTCTTTTTAAAACAGTAAAACATGGTTAAGAGAATGTGTTCGTTATATCCTTAGTTCGTTACAAGCAAAGCAGCTTGTCTCATTTTAATTTTCCCACACTATAATACATTCAAAATTGAGGGATAAAAACAAAGGAACCAAGCCAACTGATTAAAAGATTTAAAAAAGTGCTCTTGTAGCAACAACATCCCTATTCAGATTTAATCAATCAATCAACAGCTGTACATTTTACGAACTGTTGCCCCGAAAGCCTGGTATTGTACTCAGGTCTCGTTTGGTAATTACTTGTAATTACTTCAGTAATTAACTGCTTGTGTCTGACATTAATAGAATTTGCCAAGTCTGTTACACATATAAGAAAAAAATCAATATATGGCCTTTTTAGCTAATAAAGAGTTTGTTACTCAACTGGGTAGCCCAGTCATCTAAGGTGTTGGAAGTTGCTGTGCATAGTTGCATCCCTTGGGTTCTCCAGAAACCTGTGACCCGGTTCGCCCCGATTATGTTATTAAGATTTGTCAGCACACTAGCCATGCTTGTGGGTTTCACCAAATTGATAAACGTTTAAGACCTGCGTCACTTCATGCTTTCCCCCCTCATTAAGCTGACATGCTATGATATAACTGGAATACTTTTCACTGTGGCATTAAGCTCAACTAAGTCACTCATATTACTATACAGTAAACTACGTTGATAATGAACACGCTTATAATGAACTGACCAATACAACAAACTTATTTTTAGTCCCGGCCATTTGTTGTATATATGCTATATATGCTTATTATGATCTACAGTTATTACAAACTAAAATTAGTAGTCCGTTCGAGTTCGTTATAACCGTAGTTTACAATAGTTAATCTGTCTTGCCATAGACAATGTGAAAGAATCAGATGTTCTTTAACATCTGTTTAGTAGTATATAGTGTAAAGCAGGCATGACTTTTGAAATACATGTACAGTGGAACCCTTTCATATCTGGACTCATGACTACACCCATTTCCTACCAACACCGGGCAAATGTGAGGTCCCTTATTTACTATGTTATGTTTCCATTCAATAACATCTGTCTTTTCTGGACTTCCCTCTCTTGGGTTTCAGGATGAAATTGCCGTACAAAAGACTCCCGAATTCAGATTATCTTTTCACATGCGTGGCTCACAAACCTTATCAGCTATTCTCATCAGTAAACTGCTGTATATGAAGCGACATTGCACAAATATATCATACTAACTTGCGGAAATGTACTTGGAGTTAGTTGGCCTTCGCCAGATGTGCAATCACTTGTCAAAGTAGACAAGTTTCATTTGCAAGAAATAATTTGGATCGGGTGGTCAGACTCACTCACTCACTCACACTTTCACTCACTCACTCACTCACTCACTCACTCCGGTCAGTTGTGATGCTATACCTGTGTTCTGTGACGACTATTGCTCACAACACCACACAACTATGCCTTAGGCTGTCCTGAATGTAGATTTTATCTTTGCCTTCTTATTTATCATCTCATTCATTAATGGCTTTATCATCAGACTAGAAACATCCAGTAGGTAAAGCATATGTGAACTTTGTTGTTTGTTTTGTAGGTTGGTCGTTGTATGCTGTGTCGCTAGTGGCGACGGTGTCATGCCTGTACTCCTCGTCAGATGATGTTGTGGAGCTAACTGCCAACAACTTCGACAGGGAGGTCAAAAACTACGATGGAGTTGTCCTTGTGGAATTCTATGCTCCTTGGTGTGTGCTTTGTCAGAAATATTGTAATAAATCATTCAGCATGTCAGTCTGTGCCATGATCTCTTAAGTCTACTTGCCCAAACATGGCTCTTAGCGTACATTTTAGTACATTTTAGTCTTATGGACTATTATTATCTGATCTTACAAGACCTAACAGCATTTTCAGACCAGTGGTTGAAGTTACAGACTGTCATGTTCACCTTGTTCGTGGAACTGTCCCACTCCATTTTGATAAGTATTTGAACCTAGAAACGATATGACATGTGTCAGTGAGTAAATTCATTGATGCTGTTTCCTGGTTTTTGTATGGACAGTATGGTATTCCATCATTAAAATTCTTGTCACTTCTGCAGGTGTGGACATTGCCGCAGCTTGGCTCCAGAATGGAAGAAGGTTGCTAAGGCTCTCAAGGTGAGTGATATGCATGAATAGTTCTGCCTCCGTGAATGATGCACAATTAAGGCTTAAAAAAATAATACTCTTGGTTCTCAGGCACTGCCCGTATCATGAAGTCGGCCACACATTTTGTTTTCTTTTCCATTTTACAAAAAATAGAATAATCCTAATACTTAAAAACAAGCGATCCAATATAGCACAGTTACTTCCCTTTACATGCGCATTGCTCTACTGTGTATCTTGTGTCATGGTGGCTATACGAGTTTGTATGCTTGTTATGTAGGGAGGCCCTTTCCCAGGTTGATGGTACACAACTGTTTATTTGGTTACCAACAACCCCCGCACTATATTTTTAAAAGTCATTGCCTGAGAATCAATTCTTTAATTTTTTTAAGCCTAGGCAAAAGTAGTGAAAAGTTCTTTTGATATTGCTTTTAAGTCTGAAACAATTATGGTAAAATGTAAAGGACTATTCAGATTGATGTCGTGGTTGCAGGGCGTTGTGAAGGTGGCTGCTGTTGATGCTGATGAACACAAAGGACTCGGAGGTCAATATGGCATCCGGGGCTTCCCAACAATCAAAGTCTTTGGGGCCAACAAGAACAGCCCCTCTGATTATAATGGTAAGTAAAAATGAAGCTACTGACTCCCAAGCAAAAACTTGGTGTGGATTAGTGAAATGTTTGATGTCGAGATGATAAGATTTTGATTTTATGATTGAAGGAAGAAATAATTGCATGGATGCTTTGCTGATACTGTTGAGCATTTTGTTTCTTGTATCTATTGTGGCAGGCTTTTTATCTATTTATTTACTTTGTGTTTATCAGGAGGTCGTGATGCTCAGAGTATGGTCAACGAGGCCTTGAGTCAGCTGAAGAGTATCGTGAATGCCCGTCTCAGTGGCAAGTCTGGTGGCGGCAGTAGTGGAGGCAGCGGTGGCAAGGTGAGATGCCACATTGTATTTATTTTATTTCAGACAAATTTGTGGTTTGCCTCATACTTTAGATAAGCAATAGACCTTTCTAGACAAGATATCAGGCTAACTGTGAATGACATAGACTGATGTACGTATCATGGAATCATACATGGGACTGACCAATGATTGACCGACCAATGATTGATAAATGATTGATCAATGATTGATCAATGATTGACCACTTGACCAGCTATGTGTATGTTCTGTCTCCAACATGGATTATCTAAATTTAAGTTGTTACACTCATTAATTAATGTTTGATGTTCAAGAGATGTGCAGTGTACTCAGAAATGGTACTCTCTGTAAGTAGATCATGACCCGGACAGAAGGCTGTCATAGCTTCTTTAAACCATCACCAGCACTGACAGTAGGCAGTACTGGACAGCACTGATAGGAGACAGCACTGATAGTAGACAGCACTGATAGTAGACAGCACTGATAGTAGATAGTACTGATAGTAGATAGTACTGATAGTAGACAGTGATGTACAGCACTGGTAGTAGACAGCACTGATAGTAGACAGCACTGGTAGTAGGCAGTACTGGACAGCACTGATAGTAGACAGCACTGATAGTAGGCAGTACTGGACAGCACTGATAGGAGACAGCACTGATAGTAGGCTGTAATGTACAGCACTGGTAGTAGGCAGTAATGAACATCACTGGTAGTAGACAGCATTGGACAGCACTGACAGTAGACAGCACTGATAGACAGTGATGTTTCGCACTGATAGTAGACAGCACTGATAGTAGGCGGTAATGTTCAGCACTGATAGTAGACAGCATTGGACAGCACTGATAGACAGTGATGTTCCGCACTGATAGTAGACAGCAGTGATAGTAGGCAGTAATGCTCAGCACTGATAGTAGGCAGTAATGTTCAGCACTGATAGGAGACAGCACTGATAGACAGTGATGTTCCGCACTGATAGTAGACAGCACTGATAGTAGACAGCACTGATAGTAGGCAGTAATGTTCAGCACTGATAGTAGACAGTGATCTTCAGCACTGATCGTAGACAGTGATCTTCAGCACTGATGGTAGACAGCACTGATAGGAGACAGCACTGGACAGCACGGATAGTAGACATTAATGTTCAGCACTGATAGTAGGCAACATTGGACAGCACTGATAGACAGTGATGTTCCGCACTGATAGTAGACAGCAGTGATAGTAGACAGTGATGTTCAGCACTGACAGTAGACAGCACTGGACAGCACGGATAGTAGACAGTAATGTTCAGCACTGTCTATGATACATTGTTGTAATCACCTGTCATCTCCGTCTAGCCCGGGAACCCCGATGATGTTGTGGAACTGACAGACAGTAACTTCGAGCAGTTGGTGCTGAAAAGTGAAGACATGTGGCTGGTGGAATTCTTCGCCCCCTGGTGTGGACATTGCAAGAGCCTTGCCCCTCACTGGGCTCAAGCTGCCACCTCTCTCAAGGGCAAGGTCAAGTTGGGTGCTCTGGATGCCACAGTTCACACTGTCATGGCTAGCAGATATGGAGTAAGTGATTGGTCATTCGTACCTTTGCTTGTTTAGAGTGCCATGTTATGGGTTGAGTTGGTATTACTGAAAAGGCCTGTGCTAAAATAACTATGTCTCCTTGGTTTTATGTTGTTAACATGTGGTTTAGATCTTATGCAGGATCAGAGACATGCTAATTTCACTGTAAATTCTATAGTAATTCATATTTCTCATACTTCTTTCTGTGTGGGGGGCAGTCGGATAGCCTAGTGGTTAAAGTGTTCGCTCATCACACCGAAGACCCGGGTTCGATTCCTGACATGGGTACATTGTGTGAAGCCCATTTCTGGTGTCCCCGGCCATGATATTGCTGGAATATTGCTAAAAGCAGCATAAAACCATACTCACTCACTCACTGTTTGTGTGGATTCTGATCAGTGAAATTACTGATAACAGTAACCTTTACAAGTTGGACAAGTGACTTCATTGATATTTTGGGGGGCCGTGGGTTAATCTGGTGGTTAAGCTTTGGCTTTTCTCAAATAATGGGGTTCAAATCATCACATGGATATGATGTGTGAAGTCCATTTCTGGTGTCCCCTTACCTTGATATTACTGGAATACAGTAAATTGGTTATAACGAACTCAGAGGGACCAGTAGTTTGTTTTACCATATATACAGCATATACATAGGAAATGGATGGGCACAAAAACCAGTTTCTTATAGCCGTCAGTTCCTAATAAGCGTGTTCATTATAAATGTAGTTTACTGTACTGCTGAAAGTAGCTTACGCCCCTTGTCAATTAATCAAAGAAACTTTCAGTATTATGTGGTGTGTATGTGAAGAAGCAACTTGTAATGGAGAGTAACTTTCCCAGATTCAAGGCTTCCCGACAATCAAGTATTTCTCAAGTGGTAAGAAGGATGGTGCAGATGATTATGATGGAGGTCGAACAGCATCAGACATCATCGCCTGGGCTACAGAAAAGGCTGCTGCCAACATCCCTCCTCCAGAAGTGGTTCAGGTAGGTGGAGGTGCTCCGGCACTGAACTTTTCACATAATGCTGGCGGTCATCAGATTCCGGATTACAAATGGTCCACAAGACCTGTGTTGGTCATAAGTTTTGGGCTAATGGATTGTTGGTCAGACTTGGTGACTTGGTTGAGTCACTGTCATTGTACTCCAATGGTGTGGATTGTTGCAGATCGTTGCAGCAGGATATCAATCACTGGATTTTCTGGTCCAGGCCTTATTGTTTAGTGGCTGCATAGCTGAAATATTGCTGAATGTGATGTTATACAAAACAAAACCCACAAACAATACTGAAGTTTCTCCAGGAATATGGGTGTAATGATAACAGTGTAGAACTGAAGGAAGGCCTCACTCACACTCACACCCACTCCTACAGGACCACCTGGCTCCTTGGCCCCCTTTTACAAAGCGATCTTAGTGCTACGACTATCGTAAACCAGTGTTAAAGTATGGGAGTTACGATCACCTTAGCGCTAAGATGGCTTTGTGGAATGGGGCCCTGATTCTAGTCTTGTAGCTACAGCAAATATGTTTTGGAGCCAACTCCAATTCACAAGGAGCCTGATTCCAAAGTTTATAGACAATCAGGTTCCCAACTCAAGCTTCACTCACACACAAGTAGTTCAGCACCTGTGAAGATCCGGGTTAGAAGTGGTCTTCAGCAACCCATGCTTGTCTTAAGAGGCGACTATTCACGTCGTAAGAGGCGACAAACGGGATCAGGTGGTCAGGCTTGCTGACTTGGTTGATGCATGCATGGTCCCAATTGTCAATGACCAATGCTCATGATGTCAATCACTGGATTGTCTGGCCCAGACTTGATTATTTACCGACCACCATCATGTAACAGGAATATTGCAGAGTGTGCCGTAAACAACATAAAAACAACAGTGTATCAATGTACAACAAAAAACAATCAAACAAAAGCACAAGTGGTTCAGGTAGGGGGAGGTAATCCAGCATACTGTCACTCATTACTAGAGAAGAAAGTCATCATCGATGGAAATGTTGGGTGGTATGAAGCTGAATCACAGCAGTATCAGGTATTAAGGGTCACGTTTCACGTTTCACTCACACGAAGGACTAACATTATTAGCCCTGTAATATCATGAGTTGCATTAATTTTGAGGGCTATGCATTGATACAACGAATCTCCTGTTCAGGTGACGAATGCCCAGGTATTGAAAGACAATTGTGAGAATCATCAGCTGTGTGTCATCGCTATTCTTCCTCACATCCTCGACTGTCAGTCCAAGTGCCGTAACGATTACATCTCAATTCTCACACGACTTGGAGACAAGTACAAGAAGAATGTTTGGGGGTGAGTACCCATATGACCGACTGCCCCCATGATGTGGTCGATAGACCGACTGCTCCCATGGTGTAGTGGATAGACCGACTGCTCCCATGGTGTAGTGGATAGACCGACTGCTCCCATGGTGTAGTGTGTATACCGACTGCTCCCATGGTGTAGTGGATAGACCGACTGCTCCCATGGTGTAGTGGATAGACCAACTGCTCCCATTGTGTAGTGGATAGACCGACTGCTCCAATGGTGTAGTGGATAGACCGACTGCTCCCATGGTGTAGTGGATAGACCGACTGCTCCAATGGTGTAGTGGATAGACCGACCGCTCCCATGGTGTAGTGGATAGACCGACTGCTCCCATGGTGTAGTGGATAGACCGACTGCTCCCATGGTGTAGTGGATAGAGCATCTGCCCAGAGAGCCTTAGGTCGGTAGTTTCGATCTCTGGCCTCATCATACCAAAAGATGTTAAAAGATGGTACTTGTTGTTACCATGCCTCATGCTTGGCAAAAGGACTGGCCAGCTCAGTCAGTATACTGTGTCTGAGTGGGGTATCCATGTTAAACTGCAGCATGGTTTTTCTTAGAAGGCTAGCACTTTAAAACTGGCACTAGTCTGGGCTAGGATTGGTCTTCAGCCACCCATGCTTGTCGTGAAAGGGGACTAATGGGATCGGGTTCCCAGACTCGCTGACTTGGTTGATGCAGGTCATTGTATCCCAATTGAGTGGATCGACGCTCATGACGTCAATCACTGGATTGTCGGGTCTGGGCTTGATTATTTACAGACCGCTGTCATATAGCTGGAATATTGCCGAGTGTGGCGTTAAAAAAGATTAGTAAAACCAGCCACAGACGGACACATGCTTGATACACAGTGAATTGAAGACAAAAATAGTGTATATATTTTCAAAGATAAATATGAGAGCATTCAATTAGTCATCAAAGTTGATTAAAAGGAGTAAAAGACATGTACGAGGTCTAATCATCATTTAATAATCGAGTAACAGTGAAATCTTCCTTAGTGTTGTACTCATATCTATGTGGATCACTTGCCATGTTGATTTTTTTTTCTGCAAGTTCTTAATCACTGCTTGTACCTCAATTTTCTCCATTTTACAAAGTTCACAGAACTCTGCTACACTTACTGACTTGTCACTGTGAAACTATTTGCTCAATTGACTCAAGTCTTTGTGGATATGCTTCTAAGACATCAGGGGCGGTCGGGTAGCCTTGTGGTTAAAGCGTTCGCTCATCCCGCCGAAGACCCAGGTTCGATTCCCAACATGGGTACAATGTTTGAAGCCCATTTCTGGTGTCCCCTGCTGTGCTGGAATATTGCTAAAAGCGGCGTAAAACCATACTCACTCACTCACTCTAAGACATCATGTGACATATGAAACATAATATTTCACTGTAATGCAATTCCTTCGATGTGAGGCTAAGGATTTATCAATCAACCATCATGTAAGGTGACTAATATGTTTTGAATGGGTTTTTTTATCTTCAGTTTGTAAGTGTCATGCTTTAATTCTGAAAAACAGATGAAAAACATAGTATAAGTACTACTGAAGTACACGTAACATGTCTCCCTGTGCAAGTGACTTTGTTTGAAATGTACCTCTGTTCACCCAGCAGTGAACGGGTACCAGGTAGGATGAGTTACAAATGTGGTTCTTAACCTTCTAGTGCCTATCAGGCAGTTTGGGTTGTATACTCCCCAGGGAGCTGAGACTGATTGTTGAGTGCACACTGATCCTTTGACCGGGATAATAAAGGTCTTAGCACTTAGAGCACGCTTATGCATGGAGTACAGCGCCATAGAAATGGATTATTATTATTATTATTATTATTATTAAATGAGGGGTGGTCGGGTAGCCTAGTGGTTAAAGCGTTCGCTCGTCACGCCGAAGACCTGGGTTCAATTCCCGACATGGGTACAATGTGTGAAGCCCATTTCTGGTGTCCCCCGCCGTGATATTGCTGGAATATTGCTAAAAGCGGCGTAAAACCATACACTCACTCACACTCACTATTATTAAATGAATACATAAAAAAGAATTCCTGTAACAACTGATTGTTCTCCCAGGTGGGTGTGGGCCGAGGCTGGTGCTCAGTCCGCTATGGAGGAAGCTTTTGGAATCGGTGGCTTTGGATACCCTGTAAGTAGAATGTCGCTGTTGTTGTGTGGGAATTACGGAAACAGAATGATACTAAATTCCTGGTTAGGGAAGCTGACTTAATGGTGATTGGGTAGAAACAATGTCTGCTGAATGTGAATGGCGCTTGCATGGGTGGGATGTGCTTTGAAGATGTAATGTGACTGAGTGAGGGATTCAAGGTGCCAAGATTGCAAGCATTGAAGCTTGTGTTCTGAAACTGTGCTTATCTGAGTCACATGCTTTCAATTTCATATGGATCTACATGGTCCCATTGTCAATAGATATATCTATAATTTACGTTTTGAGTTTTGACCCGTGAAGATCCGGGTAGAATAGGTCTTCAGCAACCCATGCTTGCCGTAATATGAGACTATGCTTGTCGTAAGAGGCGATTAACGGGATCGGATGGTCAGGCTCGCTGACTTTGTTGATGTATGTCTTGGTATCCCAATTGCAATGATTGATGCTCATGATGTCAAACACTGGATTGTCTGGTCCCACCTCGATTATTTACAGACTGCCATCATATAGCTGGAAAATATTGCTGAGACAACAAACAAACAAAACAGTTTTAGTTTGAATTATCTTCATTTTGTATGCAAACAGATGTGACAGTGATTGGATGTAGCAATGAGATGTATCTTACATTTACCATGCTCTACTTACCTCAAAGGGAACTGGGAGTGTATTGAAATTCACAATACAATTTGTTTTATCTTGACAGGCGTTGGCAGCTGCAAACAGCCGCAAGATGAAATACTCCTGGCTCAAGGGACCATTCAGTGAACAGGGAATTAATGAGTTCCTCAGGTGAGATTACCTTACACATCCTTTAGACAGCCATGTCCTCGAGATGGCTACCTTGTGAGAGAGCCATGTCCTTGAGAGGGCCAGTGCCAAATATAAATAAAAGAACCTTGAATTTCACCTGTAGTAAGGTTTGATTTATCAATGCTTAATATTTGGTGAATTTCACCTTCTAAGCAAAGGCTACTGCTTACCGTGGTAAATGGGAAGTCACATCATTGATTCCAAAGTACAGTTACAAGTAGTGTTGAAATAATTGCATTTATATCTAAGTGTTTTGAAAAGCAACTTCTTGAAGTTTTAAGTTTTTGGGAAACAGACATTGTGAACTGTGTGCTTCCACGTGTAGTCTCAAAACGATGTTGCAAAAGACCCAGCTGTAGACAACTATGAATATCAATGTTTCCTGGCTTGAACCAGTAGTTTGTGAGGTTAAGTTATGATGGGTTCTGGGTTATCCAGTTTGCAACTTCCATCCCTCCGTTGAAACCTCTCACTCATATTGTCTTCAGGGAGCTCTCATTTGGCCGTGGATCCACCGCCCCCATCAAGAATGCTAAGCTGCCAACTATTGTGGATACAGAAGCTTGGGACGGAAAAGATGGAGTGGTAAGATCACGATCTCCTAAGCAAAAACAGAATATTGAGAGATAATTTCTGTGCATGACAGAATTTTATTTCTTCAGATTTTGGGCAGATCTTGTTTTTTTTATGGTCCCTTTCTAAAACTATTCAAAATATTTATTTAATATCTGTTTAAAGGATGTTAATTTGTTTTATTACAGCTCCCAGTTGAAGATGATATAGATCTGAGCGATGTAGAACTTGACGATTTGGACAAGGATGAATTGTGATGTGTCGGTCAAGGGAGACAATCTGTGTGGGATATGAAAGCTGGGGATATGCAGCTGCTGCCAAACCTCCGAATGGGAAAATCCACATCATTCAACTAACTTTGCTCACTAAAGGAAAAACTAGAAATTATGAGCAGAGAAAACTGTTTCGAGAATACATGAATTTGACACGTGTAAATATTATCATTAATTTTATGACCATTGCTTTTGTGACGTGAAAGGAGGTTCTATGCAGCTTAACTGAAGCCTGATACACCAGGCTTTGTATGGATGATGCGTGTGTGAAGAATTTTATTGAGTGTTTGAGAGTGCTTGAATAATTGTGACTTTGCTTGTCCATCTCAGTTTGCTGATTATCTAAACATCACAAACCTACTGTTAACAGTTTCCTTAAATATTTCAGTTGTTCATTGAGAAATGAATCTATTCAGCTTTTAATTCTTCGGTGCAATTTTATGTTAAGCTGCTCAGTTGCGAGTTATACATTTGTTATTTCTTGATTATGTTTGGAATATGATTTTAGATCTATGACAGCACAAATTTCTTACTTAATGCACAGATAAAAATACTTAAGATTGGTAACACTGTAAGTTGTTCAACACCATGACTCCATTTCTTGTGAGATGATGCCAACGCACGGTAGTGTAGTTTCAGTACAATAAGGATGTCGGAAATTTAAGGGACAATTCTTCAGAAGTTAGCAGGTTATGTAAATGAACTGGTATAGAGAACAACCTCACACGCATGGTTTGAAATTCAGCCATTCAAAACTATGGTCTTGTGCTGGTTCAGATTTATTCAAAACAGACTTGAGGTGGACATCACCTACTGTTTGGACCGACACCTGCCGTCATAAGGCCAGCTGGTACAATCTTGCTGTGATGACTAATTGATTTCTCAGGGTCGACATAGAAAATTTATGATGAATCTAGGCCTTCCATTCTGTTTAATACAAGCCAGTGTTTCCTAACACCCTTCACTTACCCCACACTTTCTAAAGTGCTTGATGTACACTTACCCTGGACACCACATCTTTTCAACATTTGAATAATTACAGCAGATTTACATTTATTTTGTTCATGTACATGTTTCATCAATAATAAACCTATTTATAATACCAACTGGTCTGTTTCAATCACATCACCTTGTGAAGACCCAACTCTGAGCTGTGGTCCGTGTCCCAGTGCCCCTATCCATGTGTGCACAGCTGTGGTCCGTGTCCCAGTGCCCCCATCCATGTGTGCACAGCTGTGGTCCGTGTCCCAGTGCCCCTATCCATGTGTGCACAGCTGTGGTCCGTGTCCCAGTGCCCCTATCCATGTGTGCACAGCTGTGGTCCATGTCCCAGTGCCCCTATCCATGTGTGCACAGCTGTGGTCCGTGTCCCAGTGCCCCTATCCATGTGTGCACAGCTGTGGTCCGTGTCCCAGTGCCCCTATCCATGTGTGCACAGCTGTGGTCCGTGTCCCAGTGCCCCCATCCATGTGTGCACAGCTGTGGTCAATGTCCCAGTGCCCCTATCCATGTGTGCACAGCTGTGGTCCGTGTCCCAGTGCCCCCATCCATGTGTGCACAGCTGTGGTCCATGTCCCAGTGCCCCTATCCACATGTGCACAGCTGTGGTCCGTGTCCCAGTGCCCCTATCCATGTGTGCACAGCTGTGGTCAATGTCCCAGTGCCCCTATCCATGTGTGCACAGCTGTGGTCCATGTCCCAGTGCCCCCATCCATGTGTGCACAGCTGTGGTCCATGTCCCAGTGCCCCTATCCATGTGTGCACAGCTGTGGTCAATGTCCCAGTGCCCCTATCCATGTGTGCACAGCTGTGGTCCGTGTCCCAGTGCCCCCATCCATGTGTGCACAGCTGTGGTCCGTGTCCCAGTGCCCCTATCCACATGTGCACAGCTGTGGTCCATGTCCCAGTGCCCCTATCCACATGTGCACAGCTGTGGTCCGTGTCCCAGTGCCCCTATCCACATGTGCACAGCTGTGGTCCATGTCCCAGTGCCCCTATCCACATGTGCACAGCTGTGGTCCATGTCCCAGTGCCCCTATCCACATGTGCACAGCTGTGGTCCGTGTCCCAGTGCCCCTATCCACATGTGCACAGCTGTGGTCCGTGTCCCAGTGCCCCTATCCACATGTGCACAGCTGTGGTCCGTGTCCCAGTGCCCCTATCCACATGTGCACAGCTGTGGTCCGTGTCCCAGTGCCCCTATCCACATGTGCACAGCTGTGGTCCGTGTCCCAGTGCCCCTATCCACATGTGCACAGCTGTGGTCCGTGTCCCAGTGCCCCTATCCATGTGTGCCCAGCTGTGGTCCGTGTCCCAGTGCCCCTATCCATGTGTGCACAGCTGTGGTCCGTGTCCCAGTGCCCCTATCCATGTGTGCACAGCTGTGGTCCGAGTCCCTGTGCCCCTATCCATGTGTGCACAGCTGTGGTCCGAGTCCCTGTGCCCCTATCCATGTGTGCACAGCTGTGGTCGGAGTCCCAGTGCCCCTATCCATGTGTGCACAGCTGTGGTCCGTGTCCCAGTGCCCCTATCCATGTGTGCACAGCTGTGGTCCGTGTCCCAGTGCCCCCATCCATGTGTGCACAGCTGTGGTCCGTGTCCCAGTGCCCCTATCCATGTGTGCACAGCTGTGGTCCGTGTCCCAGTGCCCCTATCCATGTGTGCACAGCTGTGGTCCGTGTCCCTGTGCCCCTATCCATGTGTGCACAGCTGTGGTCGGAGTCCCAGTGCCCCTATCCATGTGTGCACAGCTGTGGTCCGTGTCCCAGTGCCCCTATCCATGTGTGCACAGCTGTGGTCCGTGTCCCAGTGCCCCCATCCATGTGTGCACAGCTGTGGTCCGTGTCCCAGTGCCCCTATCCATGTGTGCACAGCTGTGGTCCGTGTCCCAGTGCCCCTATCCATGTGTGCACAGCTGTGGTCCGTGTCCCAGTGCCCCCATCCATGTGTGCACAGCTGTGGTCCGTGTCCCAGTGCCCCTATCCATGTGTGCACAGCTGTGGTCCGTGTCCCAGTGCCCCCATCCATGTGTGCACAGCTGTGGTCCGTGTCCCAGTGCCCCTATCCATGTGTGCACAGCTGTGGTCCGTGTCCCAGTGCCCCCATCCATGTGTGCACAGCTGTGGTCCGTGTCCCAGTGCCCCTATCCATGTGTGCACAGCTGTGGTCGGAGTCCCAGTGCCCCTATCCATGTGTGCACAGCTGTGGTCCGTGTCCCAGTGCCCCTATCCATGTGTGCACAGCTGTGGTCGGAGTCCCAGTGGCCCTATCCATGTGTGCACAGCTGTGGTCCGTGTCCCAGTGCCCCTATCCATGTGTGCACAGCTGTGGTCCATGTCCCAGTGCCCCTATCCATGTGTGCACATAGTCAGTGATTCATATTGATGTGGGTTTGTCTGGTCCAGATTCGATTATTTGCAAACTGCCATATATTAATGACTCAACATCAGGAATTGAAGCTGCCATCTAAGATAATCTTCATATGGCAATGTTAGAGATTTGTAGAGCATTGTAAACCTGTCCACGTAACTGAAAAGGACATTTCTAATCAATACCCCTACAGCAAATTTCGGGCAGTGGGGTAGCCTAGTGGTTAAAGCGTTCGCTCATCACGCCGAAGACCCGGGTTCGATTCCTGACATGGGTACAATCATCTTCCCGAGGCAAGAGAGTTAACTGACATAAAAGTCCAGTTTCCACCCTTGCCGAACTAGGCTGGAATTCTTGGGCTCGATCGTAGCGCCAGCGACCAGTGGCTTTTAGCGACCAGTGGCTTTTACGAGTTATGTCCTTTCTATGCCTCTCCTATTGAACAATCAGTCAAGACGATCTGATTGATAATCAAGATCTATATTGTGATAAAACGAGTCTTACCTCGCGAAGTGCATCAAATCAAGTGTGCACCTTGATTAAAAGCATGAAAAGATTTAGAAACTATCTGTTGACGAGTTAGCGGTGCACATGCTTTGCAAATCCTGCAGTCGACCGAAATCTGCATGACACTTTACGAACCGGATTTCGATTTTGGTGCGTGAATTTGATTGGACTATGCATAGACTCGTTAGTCCAGCCAAAATGTAACTCCATAATACCCACCTAGTTCGGCAAGGGTAGAAAAGGGAGACTAGTGGCAGCTTCTCATGAAGGAAAACACAACTCATAATTGCTATAAATAACCTTGTTCATGAATGATGATGCATTGGCAGGACAGCTTCACGATATTGTATCACAAGTTCAGGACATCCTACCTATTTCACCTAAGCATCAGGACACCTCAACATTGCAATGACAAATAAGACATATAAACAGTGCTGTGGCAACCCTTCAAACTACAGACATGACAAAGTACATTCTGAATATTTCTTCAATTATTCAACATTGAACAGTTCAGTGTTGATTGTATAGAAGTGACTAGATGCCTTGTGTAAAAATCAATAAAATAAGGATTTGACATAATGGTGTCTGTAGAACCTTTCAGCCATTGATGGTGAAGGTATATCACTGCGCTTGAAGACGACAGATGTGGTTATGTCTCGGACAAATCCTAGTTTATACAACTGAATTTGCGGTCCTAAGCAATAATCACACACATTATTATACTTAATGAGAAGAAAAGTTGGATGAAAGTTTGTTGTGTTCTGTAGTATAATAAATACAAGGTGAGTTGGCAGATAACGGCCTCTAGTATGAATGTCATAGTTTCAGACGTAGATAACATGTTGACTATAGAAGATATGAGTGTTAAATGTTAAACATGGAGATACTCAACGGAAACTTTAACATCAAGAAATATGTGATTTGGATAAGAGAAATTTCCACATCCCACTTTGTAAGTTTGCAACATATTTACACATTTAGTCAACTTCTGTCTGCCAAGCTCACAAATTATATATACTCTAAAAGAATAATGGACACATGATAAAGAAACAATGGTAAACAGGATACATGTTAATAATACCAAGAATTAAAGATGGACCATTTTGCAATCATGCTATTCAAACAACGTATGTGTGTTCCGTTATATATTAATGAAATGCTGCTATAATTGAGGCAGTGGGTATCACTGACTTGATCATTTTCAGGTGTATATTTACCAAATGAAACGATATCCAAGTATTAAAGTGCTGTTTGGCAAAAACTAGATGATTTCAAATAAAATAGCCATTGCATCAGGTTTCTCATGAAGCACATTTGTTTTTGATAACAAAGTGACATACTCACATAGGAATACAGCTTTTGTAGAAACATACAGTGTTCTTGTTTACCAACATTTTACCAGGGTCTGGTGGTATCTTTATCAAATCAGATCACATAGATATAACCAAAAAATACATGACGATACAGAAGGAATGGTGCTTAACCTTTGTACAGGTGTATATATCAAGCAACAGTGTAACACATGGTTAAATATCACACGTTAGTACATGTGGCTGCAAACTTGAATCCATACACTGAAACACTGGAGATAGTAATGGCCACAAACATAGAAAATCATCAAATGAAATAATACCTTCTTGACCAAATGCACAAAGTGATAAAGTGACAAGCTGTATCACATCCTGACAGCATGAATCGGAAACTCATTTGTCAAGTATATGCATGATGAGCCTACTGTAGTCGATCTCATTCAAATACGATCTTTTGCTTGGATTCCGTCTCTTTCAAGCCCTTCCTAAAGGAGTCAAGGCAGGTTAACACTGAATAAACTGTAACCGCCCAATCCAAATAAACGATGTGTAGGTTCTTGACCCAATCAGATGTCAGTTTTCCAAAATAACTTGGAATCTCTCCTTTATCACCTTGATTTGGAAATGTCAATAAGTGAAAAAAATTGTTTCACAAATGTAGCTTTGATAACACTATTTGGTGTAGATGCCATGGTGCAAAGAAACGACAGGGTGTATACACGTATTTACAATGTATATAGTACATTCTTTATTAATCTCCATTCAGAGCTACCTGTTTATATCAGAGTTGCTGCTCCGTATGATCTGCTTGCTTGTACCGAGAGTTTAGAAGCCTAAACACGGATAGATTAGAAAGTTCACCTTACATGACCTATAGTGATGAGATCTTGATGAATAGAGGCATTTAATCAGAGTAACTGATTTAGATGAGATTGCCCCCCCCCCTCCAGTTACAACAACAAATGTTCCTGGGAATTGCCTCCAGTGATGCACGAATGAACAGTGATATCAAAGTCAAGAATATCAGTCTTTGTCTGAGATACAGCAAATACCCTGAAAACGCTGCGATGATATAACCACGGCAACATCTTTGGTTGTGGGGGCAGTGGTTAAAGCGTTCCCTCGTCACGCTGAAGACCTGGGTTTGATTCCCCACATGGGTACAATGTGTGAAGTCCATCTCTGGTGTCCCCCGCAGTGATATTGCTGGAATATTGCTAAAAGCATAAAACCATACTCACTCGTTCATTGGTTTGGTTGAGGGTAACACACATTCTTCTACTGACAATACGTATGAACCACATCTACAACATGTTTACCAACACAGAGGATTCAAACAACTTTAGGGCTAAGGTGTCTTAGCTCTCAGGCTTTAATCTGTAAACCCCCGTGCACGACCACCTCTCCTTAAGCAAAGTTCGCTCTCAAACAAGTAACCAGCATATCTGGCACAGTTTGTGTTGAAAATACCCTTATGAAATTCCTAATTGCATCAGTACTGGCAAAGTTTGTTTGTTTGTTGTTTAAGGCCGCACTCAGCAATATTCCAGCTATATGACGGCGGTCTGTAAATAATCAAGTCTGGACCAGACAATCCAGTGATTGACATCATGAGCATCGATCCATGCAATTGGGGACCCTTGAAGGTCTTCAGCAAACCATGCTTGCCGTAAAAGGCGACTATGCTTGTCGTAGGAGGCGACTAACGGGATCGGGTGGTCAGCCTCACTGACTTGGTTGATGCATGTCATCAATCCCAATTGCGTGGATCGATATTAATCACAGGATTGTCTGGTCTAGACTCGATAAATTACAGACCACCGTCATATAGCTGGAATATTGCTAAGTGCGGCGTTAAACAACAAACCAACCAACCAACCATGCAATTGGGATACGATGACATGTATCAACCAAGTCAGCGAGCCTGACCACCCGATCCAATTAGTCGCCTCTTATGACAAGCATAGTCGCCTTTTACGGCAAGCATGGTTTGCTGAAGACCTATTCTACCCCGGATCTTCACGGGTCTACTTGCAAAGTCATTGAGTGAATTCAGACAACACGAGACTTTGATGTCACCTGTACCACAAGGCAAGTATGCTGGCATCTATTACTGATATCATTTTATGCTTTAGACACCTGCCACCCCCTTGCAAACAGAAAGGGGTCATGATAATCCAATATTTTAGGAGGCAAGGTCAAACTTTTGAAAATAGAGTCAGCCTGTCAGTGTCTGACATTGCCTCAACTACCTACAATACCAACAGGCGCCTTTGCTTGTCGTAAAAGGCGACTAACGGGATCGGATGGTCAGGCTCGCTGACTTGGTTGATGCATGTCATCGTATCCCAATTGCATGGATCGCTGCTCATGATATCAACCTCCAGATTGTCTGGTCAAGACTCAATTATTTTCAGACCGCCATCATATAGCTGGAATATTGCCGAGTGCGGCGTTAAACAACAAACAAACAATACCAATACTTACCATTTTAAGCCCTGCCTTTGCCAAGCAAGTAACTAAATTTAATTATTCATAACATATTACCATGTTGATCTTTTAATCATGACTATAGCCTGAACTCATTTTAGAGTGTCTTACCCCACGGTCTACTTACTGGGTTGGAGAGGTCCAATGTCTAATGTTGACGAATGAGTCACACTTGCGTAGTACAATAAGGCTATTTCACATTGTCACAAAATAAATAAATATTTTGATTCCCACAATGTAACAAGTTGCTGTTCACATTTATTAAGCAAGGGGGAATCAGTCAGGTGGTTTTGTTCTTAAAAGAGCACATGGTAAAACAGAAAATATGAAACAAGTTACAATGTTCCTTTACTGTTGGGTGATTCATGTTGCCATTTCTGGACAGCTTTCTCTGAGCAAGATTGGTAATGTGCAAAATTTAGTTCTTGATTAAAAAGTGGTCTAACCCAAGCCTTGTAAATTTCATAAAGTCTAGTAAGTTCATCTAATAAAAAAAATCAAATAACATTAAGATCTACTGAGCACATGCATTTGCTGTGAAGGATAGATAGGGTTTCCCTCACAACTATCACATATGTTGGCAGTGAAGAGGATGTCTGTTAACAATTTAAGTAATGTATGGTGAGATTCTCAGCCGAAACAGGAATATAAGACTATGATGTAATAGAGGTAGGGTACTTGAAAGAATTACTAACATCTAATATTTACAAGAGATAAGGTAGGGCTAGGATTCAGAACATTTTAGCACAAAAGTATTACCACTTTCTACACTGGAACACAAAATACTGTCGAAATGGATCATAGCCTTTACTACTACAATCATTGCAAGACAATAGTTAGACCAAAACATGATTAGTATTTACCATGCTTACATAGACAGGAAGCTACTTACAAATACAGTATGAATATGATTTGCTCTACTGCTAAAATAACATTAAAGACAGTTTGTTACAGTATCATGGTGAATCCATTTTCATTGAACAGGGTTCTGCGGTGGGTGTGTCACAGTGCACAACATGCCAGGTGGACTGGCCCACAAGCAAACCTTCCATCTGTGCTGCTGTAATCAACAGCCTATGCAGATCTCCATTTCTATTGTCATGTCATGATTTTTGTTAAGTGATGAGTGTGAGTGAGTGAGTGAGTGACTGAGTTGGTTTAATGCCTCTTTTAACACTATCGCAGTTATATCACAGCGTATCAACTTAATGTGGGAGGATAGCCTGAAGTGATGCAGGTCTCAGACGTTAACCACTAGGTGAAATCCACAAGGACGGGTATGGTGCTGACAAACCTAGAAACATAATCGGGGCGAACCCACAATCATAGGTTTCTGGCGTAGCCAGGGGACGCAACTATGCACAGCAAATCGCAGCATCTTTGGCCACCCGTGCCCCGGGGGTCATTATCGGCTATCACAGTGCCACGTACAAAAGCAATTCAATGTCCCCGGTTATCTTCCCATTGCATGCAATCATACTCCACCGTCCTCCAGTAAACATGGCTAGTCACTGGTCGTTCCTCATTATCTGGTACACCAAACATGAATGTAATGTCTATTGGGTCAATTGGTACACAGAAAACGTGAGAACTCTTATTGCCTTCTATGTAAGTTCATTGGCAATGTGTCCATCCTGATTTCTTAATCACAACAACAGCTTCTGGGACATTATCAAATATAGACTAAAAACATGAATCTCTGCCCAATAAGCATGATCAGTCCTTGTTTCCTCCGGATTATTATCAGTGATTGAATAGTATCTGAGTTTAGATCATCACAATGGTATATGCAAACTGTCCAAAATATTCCTTTTTGAAACAATTGTTGGTTTCTGATTATCTCAACATGCTCAATTAACCAGATTTTGTAACATTGCTAAATCCAACAACTTCAAGGTTCTGAGTGTCTGTAACATAACCAAGGCTACGTAAATTACATTAAGTAATACGTTACCACTTGTTATACCAAGGCTGTTGTCTCCCACAACTGCTCTTATAGCGAAATCTACCACAGAGATCTCAATTACCTCATGAAGCACGTGCATAGCCACCTCAGCTGCCATGTGACACCCTTCACTCTTGTCGTGTACCTTGACTGCTCTGAAGCGTTCCTGTTTCTCTTCCAACCAATGTCGGACATGGATGTCTCGCTGTCTACCACCCCCTGGGATACTGGATGTGGGGTCAAACCTGCACGAGATCAGGGCGCTAGCGGCAACATTTGCCCTACACTCCAATATCTCTGTTCACAGAATATTGCGAGGTTGTTACTGGCGTTCTGACTCGGTTTTTGCCAATCATTACCTCAGAAAGGTTTCTGATGAAGACGTGAAGGGTGTGCACCGTCTTAGGCCGCTCATCGCGGCGCAAGCGGTCATCTAAGGGGTGTGCCCAGCGTAATTCCGAAATCCTCAGGCGTCAGACCTTGCACGGTGGTCAATCTGGGTCGACTCCAATGTTCCCACCGCCGTGGGTACAGGAGTGGGGGTCCCGCAAACCAGCGCACTCACACCACAGCTGAGGGCGGCTTTTTGTGTGTTTTGTCCTTATTTGTATTTTGACAATTATGTATTTAATTGTCTGTCATGTATTCCAACCTTGTAATGCATGCTTACAAATATTGGAATTAGGTCACGCGCCTAATGCATACTTGAAGTAGGCTTGCTCTTGGGATATACAGTCCGAATGAAATTAATTTCCCTCTCTCTGACTGTTTAACCTGATCTAAGATTTAGCTCACACGGATACTGTGTTCTCTTCCGCTGCGGCGATGAAATACCTATCCAGTGAGGCGATGAAATACCTATCCAGTGGGGCCGTTTGGAGTCACCAATCGTTTAGCAAAGATGATTGAGCCTTACAGTATGCGCTTGACAGTGCTTTGGTATCCCTATAGGGTAACGCCAAGCTGGGAGCATGCGCATTGAGTGCTTCCGCCTAGTTGTTTACTTCCGCTGGTCGGAAGAGACACGAGCAGTTAGGTGCTCGCCACCACCTACTATGGTAATCAGCCTCGGTATAACAAGTGGTAACGTATTACTTAATGTAATTTGTAGAATTTTCCTATTCGGAATATTCTATAGTAATTCGTTACCACTTTGGCTGATGCCCGCCCGACCGTCCCCTGAGCACTTGCTCTCTCGCTAGAGACAAGAGTGAAGGGTGTCACATGGCAGCTGAGGTGGCTACGCACGTACTGCATGAGGTAATTGAGATCTCTGTGGTAGATTTCGCTATAAGAGCAGTTGTGGGAGACAACAGCCTCGGTATAACAAGTGGTAACGTATTACTATAGAATATTTCATATAGGAAAATTCTATAAAACTGGAATATAAGCATAAGACGTTCTGGAAAATATACACATAAAAATATTATTTCTGCCTGACGAAACTTAACGTCAAAATCTATGTCATCAAAACCACACCATTTATCTCTTAATGACATAGTCATCACATTAAATAACATAATCATAATTTTACAGAATCAACATACTGAACTAATTATCTTAATTTCTCTGTGGCAGTCCAATGTTTACTTAATATCACGATCTGCTTAGAACAATCCCTTAGTAAGTCCAGCTACACAGAGATGAGAACCAGTATATCACAATCGGTGTCGGTCACAGCCGTCCTCTACATGTTGTCTTCCTCCCCTGCTTGGACGACCACTGTGCTGGCAAGAACATCATAGGCAGCGCGACTGTACTTGAAGAAAAATACCGTGAGGCATGCTGGGAAGAAGAAGGCTATCGTAAAATTCTTGATCACTGATCTCACAAGGGCACTGAAAAGCAAACATGATGATGTTAGACTTCGGCAGATAAATTATTCATTCTCAGTGTGGCTACTAGACATTATTTTATAGTATACAACTTGATTTGTAAAAGGTAAATTCTTCAGAGTCAGGAAGGGATCTGAATGTGACAGACTGCTTGGAGATGTAGGAATGGTATTCAACACAGACACAGGAACTGACACATTTACAGTTAGACTTCAAGTCAAAACCAAAATACAATTACACATTTCAATAAACTATCATTGTGATTTCTTCATGTTTCTTTACACTATGTTCCTGGAACACATGAAACTGACAAGCGACGAGTAATAACGAGTGTATTTGTAGTGGTGTAATGAAACGAGGCCATTCGTAATTTAAGGCGGTGAAATGGCTCAACTCCGTGCTTGAATCTAGGAGTATATGGCTGCAAGAATGGTACCCTGTGCAGGGGAAATACTGCTGTTTGAGTGATGTAATCTGAGAACTCATTGGTTTGTCTTCCTGGTGTCCTTCCCACAGGACTTAGGCTATAGCTGTATTTGTTGGTTACAAATATCAACACTGCAAAATGTAATCCTGGGACATGGAGGAACATTTTGCTTGTTTGCTTGTTGTTTAACGCCGCACTTAGCAATATTCCAGCTATATGATGGCAGTCTGTAAATAATCGAGTCTGGACCAGACAATCCAGTGATTGACATCATGAGCATCGATCCACACAACTGGGATACGATGACATACATCAACCAAGTCAGTGAGTCTAACTACCTGATCCTGTTAGTCGCCTCTTACAACAAGCAGTCGCTAATTATGGCAAGCATGGGTTGCTGAAGATCTACTCTACCCCGGATCTTCACGGGTCTGGAGGAACGTAGTGTGTACATCCTCTATTAGTAATAAGCTGTAGTTCTCTGAGTTTCAGTAAAGTATGAATCACCAAAATATGTGTTGTAGAATTGTATGTTTTGGTTGCAGAGACGATTGCAATAACTTTGATAATTCATCAAAGAATTTATCTATTCTGACCAATAAGCAGGTCTAAAATCATCCAAAATATTGCCCAGAATACCCGTCAGCCCAGCTGTTGTTTGTAGTAGCGTACTCATTCACTGATTAAGTGAGTGTTGCATTATGCCCCGGTCAGCACTCAATCCCCTGTTCACCTGACAACTTACCTTCCCCAGCCAATGTTCTGTGCAGGATAGACAAGAATTCGGTTATGTCCCACATCGATGATGTCACTACACGAAACGACTTTCAATCCCAGAAGCCTCTTGCCAGGTGTTGAACCACCGATTGTTCCAATACCTTGACGTAAACATAATGTCTGAAATGTAAAAATTAATTTTGGTTACCATGGTTACACACTACCAGCAGTAGCAATAAGGGTGGTTTAAACTTTATTCGCATACTTCGTCAGCTTCACCTGAAACCTCATTATACATTTAATAGTATTAGCATGTATATTTCTTCTGAAACAAACATCAATTCTCAAACTACAGATTGAATACATTCATCCTAATGTCAAATAAACCCAGAAATCAGTTTGAAGAATATTCCTGCTGACGACCATGGTAACCATGGTAACACAGACAGGGATGTATCCAGTATTCCGAACTAAGTGCCCTTGGCAGGCAGCCTGGGGGAAAAAATGGTTAATTTCTCAAATTGGCTGCTAAACAAACTTAGCCATAACCTTAGTTATCACTAACATAGCATGAATTGGGAAATTTATAGTTCCAATTTGGGAATTTTCACTGATATCTGCCCTTAGGGACTTAGGGATGAATATTGATGTCTGAGCAGGTCTAGAGCCATTGCTGATCTATCTATGATAAATAATCAAGGGCACAATGACTTTGATTAACTAAACACTTGTAAGCACTCTCGTGACAAAAGAACCCCATTTTACAAACCCATCCTATAACAAGTATTTGTCACAGAAGTGACGAAATGTCCCCCGCCTGTATATACACCAAAATACCAAATATGAAGACAATCCAGCGATTAGTTCTTGAGATATCGCGGCAACACCGTTTTCTAACTCCAAAAGCAGATTTGCCTGCTGTGACCTTGAAAATGGGGTCAAGGTCACCAAAACCGACTGGTGTCTGCGGTGTCTGTATATACACCATAGTTCCAAACATGAAGACACTCCTGCGATTAGTTCTTGAGATATCGAGGCAACACCGTTTTCCAACTCCAAAAGCAGATTTACCTGCTGCGACCTTGAAAATGGGGTCAAGGTCACCAAAACCGACTGGTGTCTGCGGAGTCTGTATATACACCATAGTTCCAAATATGAAGACAATCCAGTGTTTAGTTCTTGAGATATCGCGGCAACACCGTTTTCCAACTCCAAAAGCAGATTTGCCTGCTGTGACCTTGAAAACGGAATCAAGGTCACCAAAACCGACTGGTGTCTGCGGTGTCTGTATATACACCATAGTTCCAAACATGAAGACAATCCTGCGATTAGTTCTTGAGATATCGCGGCAACACCATTTTCCAACTCCAAAAGCAGATTTACCTGCTGTGACCTTGAAAATGGGCTCAAGGTCACCAAAACCGACTGGTGTCTGCGGAGTCCGTATATACACCCTAGCACCAAATAGGAAGACAATCCAGAGATTAGTTCTTGAGATATCGCGGCAACACCGTTTTCCAACTCCAAAAGCAGATATGCCTGCTGTGACCTTGAAAATGGGGTCAAGGTCACCAAAACCGACTGGTGTCTGCGGAGTCTGTATATACACCATAGTTCCAAATATGATGACAATCCAGTGTTTAGTTCTTGAGATATCGCGGCAACAAACAGGTGGGACGTACGGACGGACGTACGGACGGTCGTGAATACTATATCCCTCGCTTCGCCCTTTTGCGCGGCGGGGGACAACAATAAACTAATACAATGGTCAAACTCAATATTCAACACAAAGCATAGGTCAGAAACTTACCTCAAACATGGTAATAAGAAGTCGATTTACAATCTCCATGGCGATAACTTCAGATGTGATAGCGAAAGCTTTGTCATAATCCATTTCTTCCAGGTTGAAAAATAAATTGTAATCAACATTGCCATCCCTGAAAATAACAATGAAACATCATGAATAATATTAATATTAAGTCCTTAACACACAAAAGGTCTGAACTTGATCAGGAAAGACGTATATGCTAAAAGTACAATCTTGAGCGTTATCGAGAGTCAGTTTGACCTATTGAAGCATTAGTTATGTCAAAAGATTTCTCAATTGTACCACGTACGCATACAACAGATGCAATAAACATCATATTCCTTGAAACAATGTAACAACAAAAACTTGACACAGCTTACATGATTTACGTAGGTCAGCATGACCTACTACTGAAATAATTTGTATATATATCAGGGGGTTTCTAATACCAAAATTTCTTTATTGCCCAAGGACAAGCCAACTTAAAATTCTACTGGCCCAGCCTGATTTTCAACTTGCCCTGCTAAATCGCTCGGAACCTTAAAATGTGAACACTATACTCTCGACTTGATTTGTTGTTTAAAGCCTCACTCAGCAATATTCCAGCTACATCATGGTGGTTTGAGAATAATCGAATATGGACCAGACAACCCAGTGACTGATATCATGATTGATATCATCTATCCACGCAATTGGATATAATGACATGCATCAACCAAGTCAACGAGCCTGACCACTCCATCCTGTTAGTCTCCTCTTATGACAAGCATGGGTTCCTGAAGATCAATTCTAACCCAAATCTTCACTGGACTTGATAGCATTCAAGTAACTATTGGAATTAACCGATGGAATGCCAATTGGGATTTTTTTCCAGTGAGTAGACTGGTCCCCTGCCTCCTTTGCCCATGCTCACTAATGCTACACAACAGCAGGCTAGCTGAGGTGAAGCATTAGGATAGGGAACAAGTCTAATCTAGCAAGGAGTTGAGAAAAGGGGGTAATTACAAATTATTTTTGAAACACATGATGCGTCTACTGCTGTCTTTCGTACTTGGCCGTGGGCTTCTAAATCTTATTGTCCAACTTCCATGACACTTTATTTTCATTGGTCAGGCAAGTCAGGCATTCTAATTGAACACCTTGACTGAACGACCTTAACTTTACGTAGGGTTCACTTAAAAAGGAAACGTTCAGGATGGCATTTCACACGAATACTAAGTCTCATAGACCATCAATCAGGGTTTCTTATCAGTTCCTTATCTAAGATATTCACTGACTGTATTTTAAAATGTCTCGAAGATCAAATTTGGGAATGACATAGAGATGTCCAATAAATATTTGATAAATCATTTAAATGTCCCAATGCCATTTGTCTCTTGCAAAGTTGCTGCTACCAAAAATGCATTTTGAGTACATTCATTATCATCCAACTTCTAAACAAAGTTATAGGACTGAAAACAGTACACAGCATATGATATGACACAGGTAGACTTACATATAGCCCAGTTCTCTCATCACAATGACAGTAACAACAAGCTTAATGTAGAACAGCAGTGTGAAGTCAATCAGCTCAGCTGCAACTCTCTTCCAAAATGATGGCAATGCGAACTCGGTCCCTGAATTTGAAACATGTCTATAATTTTCACCAACATCTCTTTATGTTTTAAAGCAATACAAAAATACAAGTACACCATTTAAACAGACCAAGATTTAGCACGAAAGGAGTTTATAATCATCATAAACATGATAAAATGACGTCCTATTTAAGAGTTTGTGTCTATATTAATTCATGAATTCTACTTCTTATACCAATATCATGATTACACCGTCCTAACATAGCCGGTCTGTGACTTCGGCCACTGGTATGAAGCCAGAGAATAGTACAGTCATGTTTACTCTACTTATCTCAACTAATAATTGTCAACATAATAATGCTAAATTCTTCTGAAAATGATGATAAAAGCTGAGTACGGCCTAATGGTCTCAAAACTGCACGAGGTGAATAAATAAATAAAATTTTGTAGTACTGCAAAATGTTTTGTGTATACAATTAGTATATGTTAATGTGTGTGTTTTTTGTTGTTGTGTGTGTGTTGTGCATGTGTGCACGCGCATGCATCTGTTTGTCTGTGTATTGCTTAAAGTTTCAATGCTGATGAAGCAACTGTAAGTCCTAATGCATCTTTTATAACTATAAATCTGCTACCATGTTTACTGTTTACCAGTATTGTCTGTATCTCATACAGACCTTGTGGCCTCTGTCCTCCTGACCTCTCGGATCTAGCCTGGGCTGGCACTGTTTGACCAGTTCTTTGTCTCAGGTTATTATGGTTGTGTACTGAGTACTGGCCTGAAACAGGAATATCATTTCTTAAGCAAGTTAAGTATTATCATGTTTTTGTAAGGATTACCATAAATCTCATTTCATTAAAATGAATACCCTATTCAGACACAGAATACTGACTTCGAGCCGACCAGTCCTTGTTTTAGCCCCTTAATGCTCAGTGCCAGACAGTGAGTGAGTGAGTATGGTTTTATGCCGCTTTTAGCAATATTCCAGCAATATCACGGCGGGGGAAACCAGTAATGGGCTTCACACATTGTACCCATGTCGGGAATCAAACCCGGTCTTCGGCGTGACCACTAGGCTACCCGACCGCCCCCAGCGCCAGACAGGGTAACAACAAGTACCATATCTTTATGTCTTTTGGTATGACACGGCCGGGGATCGAACCCCGTACATTCTGCTCTTCAGGCAGATGCTCTACCACTAGACCATGGAGGCGGTCTGTTGAACATATTGAAGTCATGATAAAGTCATGATGAAGTATCATGCATGTCATGTATTCTCTTTATCATCATGACCATGTTTATTGATACCACTATCAATATCACCATGTGAAAATGCAAGTAATCTTTGCACTGACAAAACAACAGGGCTATCACCTAATCATGCTAATCACAGTGATTAGAATTTGTGATAATTATCAATTATTCCACAATCAAATTTGGGAATTTTTAACTAACATTTGCTGTAGACATGGTAGAAATGGTTTCTATATTTCGTTACCTGAAACACCTGGATAAACTCATGCAATAAATAAACATCATAGAAATACTCAATTACCATGGTTACTGTATCAAGTGCACACTGAATTATCCATAAACAGAAAGGTATAATATACATAATACCAAGTCACATAATCATGATAACAGTAATATTAAACATAAGAAAACCTAGGAACAGAACCTATCATGGTTATGTGGAATTGGATACTTTCACTAACATATTTTAACACTGAACCTGGCTCCAAGTTTAATAAATTCATCTCATGTATTAATGTAAACTCTATAGAGCTGCAAATTAAGCACAAATACAGAGATTTAGTTAGTCCTGATTAGAAACCAATATTCAGCACTAAGTCTGCAGCAAATGTCAGCAAAAATACAGAGGAAGAGGCATATATGTTTAGCTGAATATTATTTCATTGAATGCAAAAATAAAATAAAATGTTAAATTTAAACAATGTTAAACTCAATCCAATCCCAAAAGCTCAAAGTTAATTTAAAGCGCCTTCAAAACACTAATATAAGTCAGGGCTCAAAAAAGACAAAAAAACGGTGTGCTCAAGGCCACTGGACTTGTTTTTCAGGTGTGCCATTTTGAAGTTATCTATATTACCCAATAATTATAACAAAAGGCACCTCATCCATTAGATCAAAATTTTAATGGAATAAATGTGTTTCAAGGTTGCTGGTTCTGAAACCTGTTGAACCAATGAAATTTTTTATTGTTATTTTTCAATCTTCGTTTTCCAACTGGTTGACCATACTCTTTCGAAATTTTGAAAATTATTAATTTTTTATCCCTTTCACATATAACCATGATTTGTACTTTGAAAGAGGCCAGTTACTGGGAATGTCTCCTGTTGATTCATGTTGAGATAATTTTGGCTTTTGTTCATCTGTACAATCACACATGTCAGATGTGTAGGCATTCAAATTTTGCTTCTTATAGATTTTCTAATTTCAATATGATAGCACTATTACTAAGCAATATAGTTTGTTTTCCTTGTTCGTTGTCTACAGTAACTTTATTAGAAATTAGAGCAGCAGGATAGAAAAAATATACGTATTGGAGTTTTACTTTTCAGACTTTCATTTTGACAAATAGTGCCGCCTGCTAGGTTTTTCACAGCAGTCCATTTGAAAAGCATGACATACGTAATATTTGTGATAATCTGACAAAAAACAAAAAGACGTGATTACATTCAAATGCACGGCCTATGTAATATGAAAGATATTCTGACAAAATACAGAAAGAAGCAAGTACATTCAAATTTATTTTAAATGACTATGACCATTCCCATGTGGCACTTACAAAAAATTTAACCATGCCATTTCTTATTTTATTATTATTCTTAGTAATTTCAAGCCCTGATCAGTCATTTCTGTAAACATTTTTATAACCTGATCATCATGACCATACATCATGTACATAAACACAAACATTTCATGGGGAAATCATAGAATCCTTTTGCCACCCAAATGTATTATTAAACACTAGATACAGCTCAAGAAATATTATTTTTTATCACTTCACCAATCTCGTTTGCCTCTTTGATTCTTAGGGTTGTGTTAGGTTTAGGGTAGGTTACCCCAATTCTATCTTTAGCCCAAGGATTCTTCAATGAAAATAGTGGCGAACCTATTCTACATTGGCTTCCATTTTATAAACATTGGCTCTAAGTATCTTGTGCACTTCAGCAGTGTTGTCATGATTGTAAATTTCCCACAACTCATAAACATGTAGAAATACCTGCTGCTGCCGAACCTGTCATCCCTCCTGGTGGAGGACAACTCATCGCATACAGTGGCATCATTGACATGAAACTGTGCATGGAGTTCCAGCAATGATAGTGCCATAACCACTGGCGGACTGCTTGTGCGTATTCTCGAGCATTCTTATACGTGTTCATGTTGAAATCAGTTCCATTTGTTTGATTTTCAAAGCCTACACCCATTTGTGGGTTTGTAAACTGTACATTAGGGACGTCTGCATGAGATATAGTTGGGGATACATAACCACTTCGAATTTCCTGATCCTTGTCCGCCATCTTTACCGTGACATCTCGCTTTCTCTCGTTTGGCATATCCCAATCTCGTGACGTTCTCCGAGATACTCAGGAAGGGCAGGATTTCATTAGAAACATTTTTTTTAAATGTCAAGCTGGACTGGGAAAAATCACTTCATAAATAATGTATTTACAAATGTAGCATAGCATAAGGAGAAAATATATGATGAATAATATCAATCGTATCATCAAAACCAATGGAATCTTTGACTCGCAATGATATATTCATGGACCTCATTTACACTTTAAAGTTTACATCATCAAATAAAATTCTATCAATTTTAAAGCTTACACCACTTTTGAGAATTCGGGATTCAGAAAATATCTGAGGACGAAATTCGGTATATCTAGGGCATACAAGAACATAATGGACCCACGAAAATCCGAGTTAAATTCGCTCTTCACAGCCCATGAATTTCACGTGCTTGTCGAAAGGGGAAACTAATAGGATCGGGCTGTCAGACTCGCTAAATATTGGTTGATGTATGTCATCAGATCCCAATGTTGCGTAGATCGATGCTCATGATGTCAATCACTGGTGAAAACCAACAGCTAGTGATCCAGGAAAGACAACTCAGTCCGAATGAGGAAACTTCGTTGATGCGTGTATAGTCACCGAATTTAAGCATTAGAGCAATCTCATGCATCGGTATTATCTAGCACGACTACCACAGAACTATGTCCACCTGCATGTTGTCCCAGACAGTTCCACTTGTCTCTCAACGTTTGTGTTGTAAAATTTCAGCCTATTCAGTTTCATTAATGATACAGGTTGTTTTTTTAACGCCTCATACAGAAATAGTGCAGCTATATGACGGCGGCCTGTAAATAATCGGGCCCCGACCAAACCAGTGACTGATATCACGAGCAACATTCAACGCCTTCGAGGTCCGATGACACACAACCAGCCATGTAACTTTGCTGGCCACCCGGTCCATTCTTATCCTTATACTCTCTAGCCCCCAAACTATTGTAACATTAAACATGTTTAATGTAAAGCCACAATCAAATACAAAGAGTGACTTTGATTTCCTCTCTTACTGAAGCATGATGCCCAGTTCATCACCACCCCGGATGTTAAATACCGGTCAGTACACGAAAGGCAGGAGGAAAACAGGTCAGGCATGATAGGTTTTGAAAGAAATTGCTTGAGAGAATCACGATCATGCTTGGAAGCACAATGTGCCCAATCACGTCGACGTGTGATTTCCTCCAAACTCCAGTAACTAACTTAAAAAAAGTAGCAAGGTGTTCACTTATATTCCCAATTATGAATGCTAGTTGAACATTTAGTTGATATTTAGTATTCACTTCAAAGCCATTTCTTCCTATTGCAACCGTGAAGATCCGGGGTAGAATAGGTCTTCAGCAACCCATGCTTGCCATAAAAGGCGACTATGCTTGTCAGAGGCGACTAATGGGATCGGGTGGTCAGATTCGCTGACTTGGTTGATGCATGTCATCGATCCCAATTGTGTGGATCGATGCTCATGATATCAATCACTGGATTGTCTAGTCAGGCCTCGATTATTTACAAACCGCCGTCCTATAGCTAGATTGATGCTGAGTGCGGCGTTAAACAACAAACCAACCAACCAACTTCATATTGGATGTAAAACATCATACGAACTTTCATTTTCACCAATTAAAATCAGTAGTCATAGGAGGACATTACATAAGGTCGTTCTGAAGGGACCCGTAATGAGATGTCCCCAGATTATTGTTCAGCGGTAGCGAGAACCTAGATCTGATTTTGCACCAGATAGGCGAGATTGCACCAGATAGGCGAGATTGCACCAGATAGGCGAGATTGCACCAGATAGGCGAGATTGCACCAGATAGGTTTGGACAAACGCTGCAGCGTGGGGAGACATGAGGAAACATAATCTACCCAATCACGTTGATGCATTTGTTTCCTCATATCTAGGAACCAATTTGTTATTGTAACCTATAGAGGTATACATCAGTAGCTGAAGGTTGCTTTATACTAACGCAACTTGAGGTAAGTAATGCTTACGACGTTCAGTTGTGAGCTATGTATTTTTCATGGTCTATATCGTATCGTAATCAATGTTTTAGCCATTGCAAATCAGTAGGGGGTGCGGGTGTGGGGAGGGGAGCGTCGTTGATAGCTTAGTTGTTGAAGGCACCGCGATACGCTATGCAGAGCTGCGTTCCTTATGCCTGCCATTGGTTTCCCCAAAGTTGTATACGTCTCATACTTGCATCAACTCTGGATTTCTGGACACACCGTGATATACTGTTCAAAGCGGCTCTAAACCAGTCTCTCAACTAAGACACTCACTCATACACAGTATTCAGGTGTAGGCAAAAGTGCAGTTTTCTCTTTTCTGATTTTTTACAACTTCGTCCTTGATGATACATCGCAGTTTCGTAATTTCACAGCGCTGTAGCTCACCTGGGTATGTAGTCGATCGTTGAAAGGTAAATAAAAACACAGCCACTTAAAGTTTATGCATCATTGATACTAATATGTTCTGAATTGATATTCAAATACGTTCTGAATAATAGTGAGGACTAAAACCTAGTTTCAGAGAAGAAATTGCAGAGCCAGATATCCACATTAAGAGAATAAAGAGCATGGGCAAAACACAAATACAGTAAACTACGTTTATAACGAACACGCTTATAACGAATTGACGGATATAACGATTGTTAATGTGTTTTGATCACGTCCATTTGCTGTATATATGCTTATAACTACGGTTATAACGAACTGAAATTTGTGGTCCCTTTGAGTTCATTATAATCGTAGTTTGTAGTGTTGCAAAATAGATTGAACACCAAACTTCTTTAAAACAGAAAGCAATGGCCACAAATATGTTTTCAAATATGGCAAATATGCCATACACGAAATCCGTTTGTCTTGTATGTTGACATTTCGATGACATTATTACCTGGGCATTTTCTATGTTGTAATGCACATTCATGTCACTAAAAAATGTCCTAGAACATTACTTTCTTATTTCAGCTGCGGGTCGCACACATATGGAGATATGGCGACTGGCGTCAACCTCACTCTTCAACAGTACAATGACACCTACAACCGCCGATACCTCCCTGCTACTGTGTACGTATCGGTCATGATGGTCGTTGGCTTTGTGGGCAATTCTGTTGTTTTTTACGTATACCTAAAGAAGTTCAAGCCGAGCACAACTAGGTGTTTCATTCTTGTGGTAGCCCTTCTGGATATTCTTAACGCCCTAATGTGTTGTCCAGTACAGATATTTCAAATGAGAAACTTTGTAACGTTTGGGAGATCCGGGGCGTGTAGGTTCATGATAACGAGTGTGACTTATTTCAGCACTGCGTCTGGCCAGGTTTTAATCTTAGTGGCCGTTGACAGATACAAGAAGGTGTGTCGACCCTTCCGAAAACAGATGACGCAATATACAGCAAAACTGGCTTGTGGAATACTTTGTGTTGTGTTGCTCGTGCTCATGATTCCGGCTCCACTGATTTACGGGCCAAAACCCGTGACACGATATAATGTGAATATTACCATTTGTCGGCCCCTACGAGACAGAGAGGACTATTATAAGGCGTACACTGGCTTTTGGATGATCATGTTATTCGGATTGGTTATCTCCCTTGGTGTCCTGTATTCCTGTATCTGGTGCCGAGTATATCAACAGATGAAGTACAGACAGACCTTGAAACCCTCAAGTCGTGTTGAAGGCAGTGCTGGTCCCTCAGAGCATGGGAAGCAAAATCAGTGCGCGTGTCAAGTCGAAGGATGCCTAAAATTGAAGTCGACTCAAGATACATATCGAAGTCAAGAAACCCCAGCATCCAGCCATGATTTAACCTCACACTCTGTTCCTTCACCTTCTCCTTCAGAGAGCGCACAAATAACTGCATCTTCGACTTCTGTTATGGAAATTAACTCAGCACTTAACTCAGACAGCACACACAGATTCGGCCATAAAGATTCACCCAACACAAATTCATCGCTGCCAATGTCTGCCGGAACCGGAGGTGACGTCAGAGTGACGCCACAAGATCAAGCTGTCCGAAAGATGACGTTGACGTTATTTCTGGTAACGATGGTGTACGTCCTTAGTTGCGTTCCCTATTTCGTCGTGACAACTATGATGTCGAAAGACCCAGATAACTACGAACTCCTGGCCATGAAGTACACATTTTTCTCGATCTTTGAGAAGTCCTATCACCTCCAGATCGCTGCCAACCCCATAATCTACAGCTTTCTTAATAAGCAGTTCCGCAGCGAACTCGGACTGATTTGTAAAAGGTAATGGTGACAAACTGCATGTTAGTATGCAGGAGATATGGCATCCGGAACAGATTTAGAACTTGAAACAAGGTGATTGTTTTCACTCTTCTCTTTACTTACTTTACTCCACATATCTTACAAGAATATAACAGTTTCTTATTAGAATTGACTTGTCTTTATGTAGTGTGTTAAGTTTTTAACAGCATTTCGCTTTAATGAAGATGCTTGCTTGATGTGAGTGAGTTAGTGGGTTAGTGAGTGAGTGAGTGAGTGAGTGAGAGAGTGAGCGAGCGCGCGCGTATAGTTCCTTTTAGCAATATTCAAGCAATATGACGGCGGGGGACACCAGAGATTGACTTCGCACATTGTAGCCATGTGGGGAATCGAAGGGGGATGTACGCTTTAACCACTCGGCTACCATGGGTATGGTGCTTACATACCTATGACCATGGCGAATAGGGCTCTATGTTCGATGACGGATACAAATAATAGCGACCATACGGTCTCCATGGTCATAAGAAACGACAGTCGATTGTACGATTCCGACTATATCATACGAATGTGTCTGTGTATCAGTTTCAATTAGTGCTGATGCCAGGTGCTCGCGAAAAAGGTGAGCGTATCCTGCCCCACATGTGGCACCCGTCAAAAACACATGCAAAGGCAAGCCAAAAGAATTCACCTGAGCAAATCTGATGCAAGCCAAAATTGGGAATTGCATCGGACATCAATTTGGTTCCTGGTGCATCGAATTTGGAAAAGACCTTCACATGTCTTTTGAAAGCGTTACTCTATTCATTGCGTTACCTTGTTCGAACAACTTTGAAGCATGAGTCGTACGACGCCCTCTGAAATCTTCGTACAAAGACCATTGTACACCAAAGACTGGAAGTGATGGAATATTGCTCAACATAAAGGGTAAGTTGACTATTGGAAAGTTGAAGTCATCCCTCTCTCTTGTCATACAGTCTCGTGGAGAGTTTGCGTCGCTCTGAATCTTGATCTAAATATGAAACAGATGAGGCGGTCTCACTGTGGCCAAGTTTTTAAAAAATATTTTGGCAATTCCGATTCATACGCATAACATGAGAAAACATACAACTTCATGGATAATAACTTTTGGGTTAGTATATTTAGCGACGTTTCGATGAGGATTCTGACACGGTTTTCTGACGGTGTCATTACTATCGGAGAAGGGATGATACCAGGCGTTGACGAAAGGGTGAGTGTCTCCTGCTCGACTTCATTATTAACATTGTGTTTTATTACGGTTTTATTTGTATGGTTTCTTAATCTCACCATTCATTTACTGTTATACAAGCGTTTATTTAAATTTATTAAATTAAATTATATTGGTTTTAGTCAATCAGACGTCTTTAGAAGAATACGGCACACGTAGTTTAACAGTCGGGGTCATCACAGATTTTCAGAGATCCATTCAATAATTTTCACCACTCTTTTCCTTTTACCTCTAATGCATGAAGAATCTGATTTGGCACATAATCGAGACTGATTATTCTCCTGGCGTGTTATGTTTAACTTTGCACAGTGGTAATCGGACAAGTCCCACTTCATCAGTGCTAACGTTTGTATTCCTTGAGTATTATTGTCCCATTGTAGCGTTTTCCCTCCGTGTGGTGAACCGGAAGTAAGAGATGACAGGATGAAAGTGAAGTCGTGTACTGATATGTCCGGGTTGAGAATAGGATATGATCACCTCCTGCATGTGTAAGATATCTAATCACCATTAAACGAGAACACGCATCCGTTGTTGCGATGAAATACGTGATACGTCAATACGTCAGCGTGAAGGAAGGAGGTTTGTCGTTTTTATTCACATTTCCATTTGTCCGATGCACAGGTTTGATTATCTTGACAGAATTGTGTAAAAGTTAAAAAGTAATACTACAGTTTGCACACCCTTAAGCTTAACGTGTCGTGGTAGTGTGCTGTTTGTCAGCTTGTCGAGTTTAATTTCATGGCAACCTTTTTGTTTCTGAAATACAGAATTATTTATCTTTTAAAAACGCTCTTAGCATCAGTTTGCTGAACCTTCTTCGTATTCTTGTCTAACTGACACCTGGTGTTGGGTAATTGCGTAGATGATAATTGTCTCAGGTGACGTATAATGATAGTTAACTGTCTAGGTGGAACCTGGTGGTAAGCAATTGTCAAGGTGGCACCTGGTGGTAGGTAATTGTCTAGGTGGCACAAGGTGGAAGGTAATTGTCTAGCTGGCATCTGGTGGTGGGTTAGGGTCTAGGTGGCAACTGGTGGTGGGTAATTGTCTAGGTGGCACCTGTGTGGTAGGTAATTGTCTCGGTGGAACCTGGTGGTAGGTAATTGTCTAGGTGGCACCTGGTGGTAGGTAATTGTCTAGGTGGCACCTGGTGGTAGGTTATTGTCTAGGTTTGAACCTGGTGGTGGGTAATTGTCTCGGTGGAACCTGGTGGTGGGTAATTGTCTAGGTGGAACCTGGTGGTAGGTAATTGTCTAGGTGGCACCTGGTTGTGGGTTATTGTCTAGGTTTGAATCTGGTGGTAGTTAATTGTCTAGGTGGCATCTGGTGGTGGGTTAAGGTAAAGGTGGCACCTGGTGGTGGGTAATTGTCTTGGTGGCACCTGGTGGTGGGTTATTGTCTAGGTGGAACCTGGTGGTAGATAATTGTCTCGGTGGAACCTTGTGGTAGGTAATTGTCTAGGTGGCACAAGGTGGTGGGTAATTGTGCTAGGTGACATCTGGTGGTAGGTAATTGTCCTTGTGGCACCTGGTGGCGGGTAATTGTCTAGGTGGCACCTGGTGGAAGGTAATTGTCTAGGTGGAACCTGGTGGGGGTAATTGTCTAGGTGGCACCTGTTGGTGGGTAATCGTCTAGGTTTGAATCTGGTGGTAGGTAATTGTCTAGGTGGCATCTGGTGGTGGGTTAAGGTCAAGGTGGCACCTGGTGGTGGGTAATTGTCTTGGTGGCACCTGGTGGTGGGTTATTGTCTAGGTGGAACCTGGTGGTAAGCAATTGTCTAGGTGGCACCTGGTGGTAGGTAATTGTCTAGGTTTGAATCTGGTGGTAGGTAATTGTCAAGGTGGCACCTGGTGGTGGGTAATTGTCGGTGGCACCTGGTGGTGGGTAATTGTCTCGGTGGAACCTGGTGGTAGGTAATTGTCTAGGTGGCACCTGGTGGTAGGTAATTGTCTAGGTGGCACCTGGTGGTAGGTAATTGTCTAGGTTTGAATCTGGTGGTAGGTAATTGTCAAGGTGGCACCTGGTGGTGGGTAATTGTCTCGGTGGCACCTGGTGGTGGGTAATTGTCTCGGTGGAACCTGGTGGTAGGTAATTGTCTAGGTGGCACCTGGTGGTAGGTAATTGTCTAGGTGGCACCTGGTGGTAGATAATTGTCTAGGTTTGAACCTGGTGGTGGGTAATTGTCTCGGTGGAACCTGGTGGTGGGTAATTGTCTAGGTGGAACCTGGTGGTAGGTAATTGTCTAGGTGGCACCTGGTGGTGGGTAATTGTCTAGGTTTGAATCTGGTGGTAGGTAATTGTCTAGGTGGCATCTGGTGGTGGGTTAAGATCAAGGTGGCACCTGGTGTTGGGTAATTGTCTTGGTGGCACCTGGTGGTGGGTTATTGTCTAGGTGGAACCTGGTGGTAGATAATTGTCTCGGTGGAACCTTGTGGTAGGTAATTGTCTAGGTGGCACAAGGTGGTGGGTAATTGTGCTAGGTGGAACAAGGTGGTGGGTAATTGTCTAGGTGGAACAAGGTGGTGGGTAATTGTCTAGGTGGAACCTGGTGGTAGATAATTGTCTCGGTGGAACCTTGTGGTAGGTAATTGTCTAGGTGGCACAAGGTGGTAGGTAATTGTGCTAGGTGACATCTGGTGGTAGGTAATTGTCCTTGTGGCACCTGGTGGCGGGTAATTGTCTAGGTGACGTCTGGTGGTAGGTAATTGTCCTTGTGGCACCTGGTGGTAGGTAATTGTCTAGGTGGCACCTGGTGGAAGGTAATTGTCTAGGTGGAACCTGGTGGGGGTATTTGTGCTAGGTGACATCTGGTGGTGTGTCATTGTGCTAGGTGACATGTGGTGGTAGGTAATTGTCCTTGTGGCACCTGGTGGTAGGTAATTGTCTAGGTGGCACCTGTTGATAGGTAATTATCAAGGTGTAACTTGTCCTTGGTGACAAATGGTCGTAGGTAGATGTTTTTAAGTGAAAATTGTCCTGGATGGCAGCTGTAGGTTTAACAATGTCGACACGAAGGACAGGCGTGTACAGGAGCCCATCAGCGTAACAAAGAATCCGTGACAATTTCAAACCGCAAATGCCGATCGTGAGCACACATAATTCGCAGCGCAGCACAATATCTACACATAATTTCTCATGATCCAGTACAAACTTTACTTTTTTAGTGAGTGAGTGAGTTTGATTTAACGCACTTTTTAACAGTATTCCAGTTATATCACTGCGTGTCAGCTTAATGTGGGAGGAAAGACCGAAGTGATGCAGGTCTCAGACGTTTACTACTTTGGTGAAACCCACGAGCACGGGCATGGTGCTGACAAACCTAGAAACATAATCGGGGCGAGCCGGGATTCGAACCAACAATCATAGGTTTCTGGCGTGCCCAAGGGACGCAACTCTGCACAGCGAATCGCGCCGACTGGGCCACCCGTGCCCCCTCTCCTTTTCAAATAAGTACCGAATAGCTTTTGCATATTATATCATTCTCCAACAAGTTTTGACACACTAGTGTAAATCCCCATCAACTCTTCCCAGGCTGTTTCAGCAGGCTTGTGCTGGGAAGGTCCACTGGCAAGATGACATGTATGCGATTGTTCTCAACTGGTTAATATAATTAACCAGTTGAGAACAATCGCATACTACATCCTTTCGGCCCCAGTCAAGTTTATCCTGTTTGAAAATGTATCCTTGTACCACATCAAAGGTTATTTCACTTGTCGATGCGTTAGGATAAATTTATAGAAGCATTTGGAAGGGAAGCCATCGGTAAGTGAAGACTTAAATTAAGAATACTCTATTGTTGTTTTGAATTTTTATGTATGTGTGTAATGTTTATTATTTGTTAAGGTGATTACACCACACATTAGTTCTACTTACACAATACATCCGCGTCATACCAAAAGACGTTTAAGAAATTGTACTTGTTGTTACCCTGTCTCGCGATCGGCATTAAGTGGCTAAAGGAAGAACTGGTCAGCTCGGAGTCAGTATACTGTGTCAGAGTGGGGTATTCATGTTAATCTGCGGCATGGTATCTTAGTGAGTTAGCACTATAAATCGGCATCAGTCCGGACTAGTACAAGCAGCCACACACACACACACACACACACACACACACACACACACACACACAAACACACACACACCGTGCATGCACATCGCTATTTAAGTGAAATAATCTTTGACGCTTAAACCCAATTTCGACTCACCTCTCCTGAAAAACATAATATTGTCGTTACATATTTCTCAATGTACTTTAATACCGTTTTCTTTTTTTCATTCAGTTCACCAAACATGTCTGTGGAGTTGAGGCTCAACGTAAACATCAGTGTCATTCAAAACGACCCTGACCTATATCTTCGTCACTATGACAACAAATACGCCCTACAGGCCTTGTCCGCCATCTTGTTTCTTGCCATCTTGATGCTGGTTGGATTCGTGGGGAATTCCCTCGTCTTCTATGTGTATCTTGTGAAATTTAAACAGAGTTCCACCCGATGCTTTATTGTAGCATTGACAACCTTTGACCTTATTACGTGTATGATTTGCATTCCCACTGAGATAAAAGATATAAGGCATCACCACACATTTGGGCTGTATAAACTGTGTAAGATATTGCGAATCCTTGTAACGTTCTCAGCTAATGCTTCAGCGTCTATACTAGTAGCCATTGTTGTGGACAGGTTCAGGAAAATATGCCGACCGGTTAAAAAACAGATGACACCTTTGATTGCAAAGGTTACGATTACCGTGTGTTCGCTCATGAGTGTCGTCGTGTCATTGCCCGGTGCTATCATCTATGGCTCTAGAGTAGTTGCAACAGATGACATCAATATTAACGGTTCAGACTGCTCTACGTCAGACGACTACATCAGGACGCCCTACCCTCTCATCTTCAATGGAGTCCAGTTTTTCATCTTCATCTCCTCAACACTCAGTCTCTCTGTACTCTATGGTCTAATATGGCGGCGGGTTGCCCGGCAACGGAGACGAATGAAAGCCGTCAATAAAACTAAACAAAAACTGGAAAAGGATGACAGACAGGAAATGGTACCAACTCAGAACAATACATCATCGTCAGATGTCCAACATCCGCCAATTACAGGTGAAACAAACCTGTCATGTTCCGAGAGAAGTGATTCCAACCTTCCTACAGTTACATCAGAACGCATAACAGATCCATGTCCAGACGCCCCTGAACTCATAACATCTGTATCCCCACCGAGCAGCCAGCCCTCCAAGTGCGGAAGAAACAAATTCCCCGCCAGCACATCGTCACAACGTCCAAGAGGTCAGAAGACGACCTTCATGCTGTTCCTCATCACCCTGGTGTTTGTGCTGAGTTTCCTCCCGCATCTGGGTCTGATGGCAACCAGGGCTGTCAACAAACACGTGTTTGACCACCTTCCAGGAGCTGGGATAGCAGCTAACAATATTTTTCTGAGATCGTACTTCATCAACAGTGTCTCCAATCCTATCATTTACAGCTTCTGTAATGATCGGTTCCGCCGGGAAGTGACACTGCTATGGAAGAATAGGTGAATAGAGACAAAAGCTGAAGAATATGTCGGAATTGTAAAAACTATAGGCAGGCTGGTAAAAGAGATATCAGAGCCAAGATACATTAAGCCATTATCGCAATGTACACTGCTTAGTAAGCCGTTGAGGAAACACTGAAGACAATTAGCTGACAAATACATGTATATGTGTGGTTATCACCTATCACAAAAAAACAATGATTTGATACATCGTGAGCGATTATGAAACGATTTGCAACCAAGTGAATCGCTGTTTGATAGCAGATTTGTCAGAAAACGCTCTTTGGAAGCCATATGTTTGTCTTGTGTGGGAAAGCTTACCATTACTATACTTATAGAACAGTTCCTATTTTGAAGTTATGTTTGCGAAATTCAGCCAGGATACTTTCTAATTGCCGTCACCTAAAACACAAACATTTTGAAAATGTGGTTGACCGCTGACCTCTGGTGTTTGTTGGAGTATAATTTTTCTGTCACAATATTTTCTATGAAGAGACGAACAACATGACATGCATCAACCAAGTCATCGATCCTGATCATCCACTCCCGTTAGTCGCCTTTTACGACCAGCATGGGATGCTGAAGGCCACAACTAACCAGGATCTTCACGTGGTCCAAGTAAGAACTGTTGTGGTAGAGTGGCTTCATGGGCCACAGGAAGTTTATATGTGCTCACTGTTTACTGGTCAGGGGCTTAACCAAATTACTGTTACAAGGTGGATAAAAGCACCAAATCGGGCACACTGATAACCATATTGATTAGTTATATGATAGGAGACATGGTATGATGGTAAATCTAACTCACAAATGCTAAAGTTCATGCCCCCTCTGTTCCTAGCGTGACGAATCAAACACATATCGTCAAATTCTAGCTCCTTAACTAGCTGATCATCAAAATGGGTACCCACACTCTTCTCTTTGTTTAAACTTTTTTTTTTGTACATCTGCAACGTGGGCTACGTACGGATGCGTTTGAAAAATAACGACGGATATACGGATGCATGTCAAGGATACGGACACGGCGAACCCGGCTTAAGCCGGTGTTTAAAATATCCGCCGGAGAGACCTTCCAAGAAAACTTGCAAAAAGTATTCCACGTAGACCAACAAAGCATGCTCAGCGGATAATACTTGACATTGCTATCTACTTTCACGATTAAGCTCATCGCCGACTGGCTCAATTTTATTCTGCATGTTAACAAAAGCTTTGAAAAAGTCACATGATCAATCTCGTGTAAAAATATAAACAAAACCAACTGACTGGTAACCTTTAAACCGGATTGGCAATTTATTTGACGTCACAGTCCTGCATCACTTTGGGCTTTTCCACACATTAAGATGTTAATTACAACTACTGAAACTATCTTACTGAAGCATGATGCCCAGTTCGTCACCGCCCCGGATGTTAAATACCGATCAGTACATGAAAGGCAGGAGGAAAACAGGTCAAACATAAAAGGTTTTCAAAGAAATTGCCTGAGGGCAACATGTTTATGCAGGAATCACAATGTGCCCAATCACGTCGACGTGTGATTTCCTCCTAACCCCAGTAACTAACTTCAATAAAGTAGTAAGGTATTCACAATTATGAATACTGGTTGAACATATCAATATTCAGCATTCAATTCAAAGCCATTACCCATTTCGGGTGTCCCCCGCCGTGATATTGCTGGAATATTGCTAAAGGCGGCGTAAAACCATACTCACTCACTCACTCACTCACTCACTCAAAGCTATTGCTTCCTATTGGATGTAAAACATCATACGAACTTTCATTTTAACCAAATAAACTCTGTATTCATAGGAGGACAATGCATGTAATATTAATAATGCCTGTGTCACATCCCCTTTTCAGTACAACCTCACATTCTCCAAATATTATCTTGATGACTCATTATAATTGGAAATTTAGCTACAATTTAAAATCTAAACTCAAACGACGCAATAAAAAAACAAAAAAGTAAACATGTTTACCGATATTATTAATGATAGGGCAATATGTGGACATTTGATGCCCATAGTGTTAATCTAATCTCACCTGAATCAGCTTCATCTTGAGAGACACGTGTGTCATTGATAATATTGGCATTTGTTCATCTGTACCATCACACATGTCAGTCGTGTCGGCATTCAATTTTCGCCTCTTAGAGATTTTCCAATTTCAATATGTTAGCACTAATACACAGCAATATACTTGTTCGTTGTCTACAGAAACTTTATTAGAAATTAGAACAGAAGGCTTTAAAAATACATGCAGTGGAATTTTACTTTTCAAAATTGGGCCGCCTGCTAGATTTTCACAACAGTCAGAAAGAACGTGAGTAAAAAACGTCACACCAGATAGTTTGGACAAACGCTGCAGCGTGGGGAGACATTGCTTGAGAGAATCACGATCATGCTTGGAAGCACAATGTGCCCAATCACGTCGACGTGTGATTTCCTCCAAACTCCAGTAACTAACTTAAAAAAAGTAGCAAGGTGTTCACTTATATTCCCAATTATGAATGCTAGTTGAACATTTAGTTGATATTTAGTATTCACTTCAAAGCCATTTCTTCCTATTGCAACCGTGAAGATCCGGGGTAGAATAGGTCTTCAGCAACCCATGCTTGCCATAAAAGGCGACTATGCTTGTCAGAGGCGACTAATGGGATCGGGTGGTCAGATTCGCTGACTTGGTTGATGCATGTCATCGATCCCAATTGTGTGGATCGATGCTCATGATATCAATCACTGGATTGTCTAGTCAGGCCTCGATTATTTACAAACCGCCGTCCTATAGCTAGATTGATGCTGAGTGCGGCGTTAAACAACAAACCAACCAACCAACTTCATATTGGATGTAAAACATCATACGAACTTTCATTTTCACCAATTAAAATCAGTAGTCATAGGAGGACATTACATAAGGTCGTTCTGAAGGGACCCGTAATGAGATGTCCCCAGATTATTGTTCAGCGGTAGCGAGAACCTAGATCTGATTTTGCACCAGATAGGCGAGATTGCACCAGATAGGCGAGATTGCACCAGATAGGCGAGATTGCACCAGATAGGCGAGATTGCACCAGATAGGTTTGGACAAACGCTGCAGCGTGGGGAGACATGAGGAAACATAATCTACCCAATCACGTTGATGCATTTGTTTCCTCATATCTAGGAACCAATTTGTTATTGTAACCTATAGAGGTATACATCAGTAGCTGAAGGTTGCTTTATACTAACGCAACTTGAGGTAAGTAATGCTTACGACGTTCAGTTGTGAGCTATGTATTTTTCATGGTCTATATCGTATCGTAATCAATGTTTTAGCCATTGCAAATCAGTAGGGGGTGCGGGTGTGGGGAGGGGAGCGTCGTTGATAGCTTAGTTGTTGAAGGCACCGCGATACGCTATGCAGAGCTGCGTTCCTTATGCCTGCCATTGGTTTCCCCAAAGTTGTATACGTCTCATACTTGCATCAACTCTGGATTTCTGGACACACCGTGATATACTGTTCAAAGCGGCTCTAAACCAGTCTCTCAACTAAGACACTCACTCATACACAGTATTCAGGTGTAGGCAAAAGTGCAGTTTTCTCTTTTCTGATTTTTTACAACTTCGTCCTTGATGATACATCGCAGTTTCGTAATTTCACAGCGCTGTAGCTCACCTGGGTATGTAGTCGATCGTTGAAAGGTAAATAAAAACACAGCCACTTAAAGTTTATGCATCATTGATACTAATATGTTCTGAATTGATATTCAAATACGTTCTGAATAATAGTGAGGACTAAAACCTAGTTTCAGAGAAGAAATTGCAGAGCCAGATATCCACATTAAGAGAATAAAGAGCATGGGCAAAACACAAATACAGTAAACTACGTTTATAACGAACACGCTTATAACGAATTGACGGATATAACGATTGTTAATGTGTTTTGATCACGTCCATTTGCTGTATATATGCTTATAACTACGGTTATAACGAACTGAAATTTGTGGTCCCTTTGAGTTCATTATAATCGTAGTTTGTAGTGTTGCAAAATAGATTGAACACCAAACTTCTTTAAAACAGAAAGCAATGGCCACAAATATGTTTTCAAATATGGCAAATATGCCATACACGAAATCCGTTTGTCTTGTATGTTGACATTTCGATGACATTATTACCTGGGCATTTTCTATGTTGTAATGCACATTCATGTCACTAAAAAATGTCCTAGAACATTACTTTCTTATTTCAGCTGCGGGTCGCACACATATGGCATATGGAGATATGGCGACTGGCGTCAACCTCACCCTTCAACAGTACAATGACACCTACAACCGCCGATACCTCCCTGCTACTGTGTACGTATCGGTCATGATGGTCGTGGGCTTTGTGGGCAATTCTGTTGTTTTTTACGTATACCTAAAGAAGTTCAAGCCGAGCACAACTAGGTGTTTCATTCTTGTGGTAGCCCTTCTGGATATTCTTAACGCCCTAATGTGTTGTCCAGTACAGATATTTCAAATGAGAAACTTTGTAACGTTTGGGAGATCCGGGGCGTGTAGGTTCATGATAACGAGTGTGACTTATTTCAGCACTGCGTCTGGCCAGGTTTTAATCTTAGTGGCCGTTGACAGATACAAGAAGGTGTGTCGACCCTTCCGAAAACAGATGACGCAATATACAGCAAAACTGGCTTGTGGAATACTTTGTGTTGTGTTGCTCGTGCTCATGATTCCGGCTCCACTGATTTACGGGCCAAAACCCGTGACACGATATAATGTGAATATTACCATTTGTCGGCCCCTACGAGACAGAGAGGACTATTATAAGGCGTACACTGGCTTTTGGATGATCATGTTATTCGGATTGGTTATCTCCCTTGGTGTCCTGTATTCCTGTATCTGGTGCCGAGTATATCAACAGATGAAGTACAGACAGACCTTGAAACCCTCAAGTCGTGTTGAAGGCAGTGCTGGTCCCTCAGAGTATAGGAAGCAAAATCAGTGCGCGTGTCAAGTCGAAGGATGCCTAAAATTGAAGTCGACTCAAGATACATATCGAAGTCAAGAAACCCCAGCATCCAGCCATGATTTAACCTCACACTCTGTTCCTTCACCTTCTCCTTCAGAGAGCGCACAAATAACTGCATCTTCGACTTCTGTTATGGAAATTAACTCAGCACTTAACTCAGACAGCACACACAGATTCGGCCATAAAGATTCACCCAACACAAATTCATCGCTGCCAATGTCTGCCGGAACCGGAGGTGACGTCAGAGTGACGCCACAAGATCAAGCTGTCCGAAAGATGACGTTGACGTTATTTCTGGTAACGATGGTGTACGTCCTTAGTTGCGTTCCCTATTTCATCGTGACAAC